GTACCTGCTTTCCCGGGATAAAATAGTCCCGTTTGCTCGCTTCCAGGTGCCTTCGACCTCCTCATCCCTGATGCCGAGCCAGGAGGAACTTCGCAGCACGTCCGGACGTGATCCTGGGGACAAAGGCAGCGTCACCCCATGGCAGAGCCCCCCCTGGGGACAGAGGGGGACAGCAGGTCCTGGTGGCAGGTAGGACCTGATGCCACATCCCCCCTTAATACCCCACACTCCCCACTGCTGGCACAACCTCTGCTCTGGAGTCAGGGGCGCGCGGGGGAGTTTGGGGTTTTTTTGGGTGCTGGGGGACAGTTCAGAAGAGGTTTGGGGTCACGGACGGCAGGGTGAGGGTCCGTGGGGCGCTACAGCTGGGGTTAAGGTTGAGTTATGCACAGGTTTGGGGTCACAGTTATGAAAAATGAGGATTAAAAATTAGAGCTTTATTGGGGTCTGGGCTATTAGGGCTAGTTTAAGTCCTATATATTTAGGGTCAGGACCTCATTGGGACCTGGACTAGCTTAGGGTTAGCTTAAGTCCTGTGTATTTAGGGTTAGGGCTGGGTTAGGGCCCCGTTAGGGTCTAGAGTAGCTTAGGGTTAGCTCAAATCCCATATATATGTGAGATTAGGTTTGGGACAGAGTGAGGTGTAGGATCGGAGTAGGGTTATGGTTAATCAGATTAGGGTTATGGTCAGGCTTAATGTTAGGGACAGGGTTGAGGTCGGGGTTATTGTTAGGGATAGGGTCAGGGATATGGTAAGGGTTAGATCCAGGGTTAGGATTAGTTTTAAGGTCAAGGATAGGGTTAGGGTCAGGTTTAGGGTTAGGGGTAGAGTTAGGGATAGGTTTCGTCTGGATTTGGTTCAGTATTGGGGTTATGGCTCTATTAGGAATGGTGTTGGCCTTAATTGTATAAGTGTTAGGTACTAGAATAAATTTAGGGTTAGAGTGACAAAATTTAGGTAAACCTTAGGGTGAGGGCTGAGCGGCACCCACCCATGAGAAAAATAGGGTGACCATAAAGCTCTTGGAGGGTTCAGGGCAGGGTTTATGGGAATCATGTGAGGCTTCTAGCCACTCCTTGTCCCCTAGAAGATCATCCCCTCCCCACAAAGCCCACCTCAGGCACCACAGTGTCCCACCTCATCACCCCCCTGGGATCCGTCCCCCCCGGATCCGTCCCCCCTGGGTCTGTCCCCCCCAAATCTGTCCCCCCTCACCTTCTCCTCGGGGCTGTCCACCTCCAGGAGCTGCGTGCCCAGGGCCGAGCAGAAGCTCTGGGCGTTATCCCAGGAACTCGCCGTCTTGGAGTAGAAATAGCAGGAGTTCCTGAAATAGGTCCAGCCCTTGGAGCAAGGGGGACAGCCTGGGGACGTGGGGGGGACACAGAAAAAGGGGTGGTCACCCCCAAACTAGGGCTGTGAGACCCCATAGACCAGGGACAACCCCGGCCAGAGACACGACCCCGGTACTTGAACTTCCCCACTGGGTTAACATTACAGCTGGGTTAGGTTTATTTGGGTTAAATCCTATATATTTAGGGTTAGGACTGGATTAGGGTCCCATTGGGATTTAGGCTGGGTCAGGATTTGGTTAAATCTGGTATATTTAGATTTATAACTGGATTAAGGTCCCGTTGGGTTTTGGGTTTAGCTTGATACGTTCAGGTTACAACTGGGTTGGGGTTAGGGCCGTGCAGAATGTGGGGATAAATTAGGATTATTTTAAATCCTATAAATTTGGGTTTATGGCTGGGTTAGGGTTAGGACCCCACTGGGATTAGGGCTAGTTTAGGATTCATTTAAATCCTATATACTTAGGGTTAAATCTGGGTTAAGGTTAAGGCCCTGCTGGCATTAGGACTAGTTTACAATTAATATAGCTCCTGTATGTTTAGGGTTAGGGCTTGATTAGGATTATTGGGATTTGGGCTAGATTAGGGTGAGTTTAAATTCTATATATTTAAGGCTGTGAATGGTTTATGCCTAAGGCCCTGCTGTGGTTTGGGCTAGTTTAGGGTTAGGTAAAGGCGCATATATTTAGGGTTTGAGCTGGGTTAAGACCCCGTTGAGGCTTGACCTCGCTTAGGATTGGGTTAAAGCACACACATTTAAGGCCTGAGCTGGGTTAAGGGTTAAGGTTTAGCCGAGGGCCAATGTCACTTGGGGTGAGGTTAAGCATATTTAGTTACATCTGCAGTGGCATTAGGACCCCGTTCAGGTTTGGGCTTTCTTAGGGTTGGGTTCAGTCACCCTAAATGTAAGGGTAGGGCGGGTGTAGCGCCCCGCTGCAGCCTGAGCTTGGCTTCAGCTGTGTCCGTGCCAGGTTAACGCGGACTTTCCCGCAGCGCAGGGTTAGGCAAAGCCCTAAATATTTGGGATAAAGGTGCCGGGACTGACAGGAGAGGGAACAGACGTCGTCCTTGCTGCCGTGGACCACCCAGCGGCTCCACTCGCGGTCCCCGGTGTAGAGCATCACCGTGCGCTGCAGGTTGTTGCCGTAATTGAAATAGAGCTGGTAGCCGGCGAGCGCCAGCAGCCCGCCGTGGTGGCACTCCCAGCGCTGCAGCTCGCCGTCGTCCCGGCACGGCTCCAGCCTGACCAGGGCCAGGTTTTGCCCCCGGGTCGCCGTGAGGCAGCGCTGGCTCTCCCCGGCCCGGAGCCGGTCCCCGTGGAACCACTGGAACCGCTGCGCGGCCGCCTCGGGCCGGCACGGGGTTGCCACCAGGTGCTGCCCGCTGGCCTCCACGCACTTGCGGTGGTCTTCGTTGTACAGCAGGAAGGAGCGGGAGGCTGCCCGGAGGTTCCCGGTGAATGGGGGGGGGACGTGGGGATGTGGGGGGGAAATGTGGGGTTGGGGGGGAAACGTGGGGAATGGGGGGACATGTGGGGATTGGGGGGACAGGCATGTGGGGATTGGGGGGGACACGTGGGGATTGGGGGGACACATGGGCATGGGGGGACACACAGAGATTGGGGGGGACACGTGGGGATTGGGGGGGGACATGTGGGATTGGGGGGACAGGCGGGGATTGGGGGGGACACGGAGGGATTGGGGGGAAACGTGGGGATTGGGGGGGGACATGTGGGATTGGGGGGACAGGCGGGGATTGGGGGGGACACGGGGGGATTGGGGGGAAACGTGGGGATTGGGGGGAAACATGGGGATTGGGGGGGACATGGGGGGATTGGGGGGAAACGTGGGGATTGGGGGGAAACATGGGGATTGGGGGGGGACATGTGGGGATTGGGGGGGAAACGTGGGGATTGGGGGGGGACATGTGGGGATTGGGGGGAAACGTGGGGATTGGGGGGGGACATGTGGGGATTGAGGGGAAACGTGGGGATTGGGGGGGGACATGTGGGGATTGGGGGGAAATGTGGGGATTGGGGGGGGACATGTGGGATTGGGGGGACAGGCAGGGATTGGGGGGGACACGTGGGGATTGGGGGGGGACATGTGGGATTGGGGGGGACACATGGGGATTGGGGTGGGACATGTGGGATTGGGGGGGACACGTGGGGATTGGGGGGACAGGCAGGGATTGGGGGGGACATGTGGGGATTGGGGGGAAACGTGGGGATTGGGGGGAAATGTGGGGATTGGGGGGGGACATGTGGGGATTGGGGGGGACACATGGGGATTGGGGGGACACGCAGGGACTGGGGGGACACACGGGGACTGGGGGGACACGCAGGGACTGGGGACACATCCGTGGGTGTCACCGTGGGAAGAGGAGGGGGGACACACGGGGCGGGGGGGACACACACGCACCCACATTCGGCAGCTGCTTCATCTTCTCTGCCTCCAGCGTCTCCGTCAGGGCTGCGACTGGGGGTGCAGGGGGGGGACACGGGGCGGGGGGGGGACACACATGTCACTGTCATCGCAAGGCGCGGGGTGTCCCGGAGCTGATGCCGCGGTGGGGGTGGGTGAAGGGCTGGTTTGGAGGGGTGCTGAGAGGGTGCTCTGGAGCCCCCCAACACCCCAATCACCTTCCCCCCCCCAGCAGCCCCGGCGGCGTCTCCCCAGATGGAAGTGGACACCCCCCCCCCCCCCCAAACCCCGGGGGCTACTCACTGCGCCGCGAGCCGATGGCGAGGAAGAGGATGTTCATCAGCACCGAGACCCCCAGGGCCACGGTGCCCACCAGCACCAGTTTCTCCCTGGAGCAGCACCCCGACGCTGGGGGGGGGCGGTGAGGGAGAACCGGCCCCCGCTTTGGGCAGAGCTGGGGGGCACCGGCTGTAACGGCCGCGGGGCTTTGTCCCGGCGCTCCTGCCGTCGCCCGTGTCGTACTTGGGGGGTCGGGTAAGTCCTTCTGGCTTGGCGCGGCGAGGGGGGGGTCCAGGGGCTCGTAGGGGTTTTCCTCGGGGGGGTACAGGTCGCTGCAGGCTGGGGGACACGCACACACACACACAGAGCAGTGACAGCACTTGGGGGGGGCTGTCCCCCTTCCCAGTGCCACCGTGATCCCTGGGGACTCCCCTTGAGGACGAGGGAGGGGGATTCCCCACCCCCCCACCCCAGTTCCACCTCTTTGGGGACACCCCCCCCCCCAAATTGGGCAGCAGGGGAGGGGGATTCCCCCCCCCTCAAAGTGTCTCTGATCTCCCCAGGGATCACCCTTGAGCACTGAGGATGGGAATGGGGGTCCCCTTGGGTGCCACCGCCTGCCCTGGGGACCCCCTCTTTGGGTGTTGGGGGTGGGAAAGTGTCCCCCGGGGGTCACCAACCACCCCAGGGCCCCCCCACCCCCCCAGACACAAAGATGGGGATCCCCCTCAGTGCCATTGCCCACCCTGGGGACACCCCTCAGGGACCAGGGATGGAAGTGGGGGTCCCCCTCAGTGCCCCCTCTGGGGCACCGGCGATGGGGGGGTGCCACCACTTGCCCCAGTGCTCCCCCCCCCTCACCCAGGTGGGCACTGGGGCTGGAGATCGGGGTCCCTCCCTGGAGCCACAGTCCCTCTTGGGGACCCCCCCTCAGACACCAGGGACGGCAGAACCCCCCTGGGTGCCACCGCCCGCCCTGGGGACCCTTTTTGGGCACTGGCACAGAGATTGGGGGGGGGGGTGTGTGTGCGTGTCCCCCCCCACCCCCCCAGGCAACTCTGAGACCCCCAAAAAGGACATGGGGGTGTGCGTTGGGGACAGCGGGACTGCTGAGCTCCCCCCCCCCCCCCCCCAGCACCCCAGGGTGCTCCCTACCTTCCCCATCGCCGGGTCCCAGCACCCACATTTGCCCCCGCTCGGTTCGGCTGGACTCGACGTTGCCGTACATTGTCCCCGCGGTGCCGAAGAGTTGTCCCCAACGGGTGTCCCCCCTGATAAAGCCTGCAGGAAGCGGGGGGGGGGGGGGGGGGGGGGGGGGCGGGAAAAGGGGGGTGCCGGATGCACCCCACGCCAGGGATGGGCCTCAAAGAGGCCCCCCCAGCACCCAGCGGCTCCGTCCCTGCACCCTGAGGCTTGGCTGGAGGTGGCACCGCCTGTGACAGTCCCCAGTCCCCGGGGGGGGGGTTGCGGGGGCACCCAAGGGTGCTGCCAGGTTGAGGCGGTGGGATGGGTGCTGGGCGGCATGTGGGGGGCTTGGGGAGAGCAAAGGATGGGTGTCCCCGTGCCAGGGTGTCCCTATGCCTGGGGTGTCCCTGTCACCAGGGTGTCCCCACGCCCGGGGTGTCCCCATGCCCAGGGTATCCCCACACCCAGGGTGTCCCCATGCCCGGGGTGTCCCTGTCCCCAGGGTGTCCCCATGCCCGGGGTATCCCCACACCCAGGGTGTCCCCATGCCCGGGGTGTCCCTGTCACCGGGGTGTCCCCATACCCAGCACATCCCCGGCGTCTACCCACACCAGGGTGCTCCCACGCCCATCCCAGGACCCACGGGTGACCCCGAGGTGGGAGCCTGTCCCCACGCCGGCTCTGGCCACGCAGGAAGAGCTGGGTGCTATCAGCACCCACCAGCCCCGACCGCGGGTCCCCGGCCACCCGCCGGCACCCGGCTTATCGCACCCAGCGGGAGCGGGCACCCAGCGCCGCGGGGTGGGTGCGGGGCTGCGGGGACGGCCATGGGGGTGCCGGTGTCCCGTGGGGGTGCCGGTGTCCCGTGGGGGTGCCGGATGTCCCATCATGGTGCTGGTGTCCCACGGTGGTGCCGAGTGTCCCGGGGCTGTAGTGAGTGTCCCTTGATGGCGCCGGGTGTCCCATCGTGGTGCTGGGCGCGTTGTGGTGATGCCGGGTGTCCCTTCATGGTGCCAGATGTCCCATCGCGGTGCAGGGTGTCCCTTCGTGGTGCTGGTGTCTCATGGTGATGCCGGGTGTCCCTTCATGGTGCCGGTGTCTCATGGTGATGCCGGGTGTCCCTTCATGGTGCCGGTGTCTCATGGTGATGCCGGGTGTCCCTTCATGGTGCTGGTGTCTCATGGTGATGCCGAGTGTCCCTTCATGGTGCCGGTGTCTCATGGTGATGCCGAGTGTCCCTTCATGGTGCCGGTGTCTCATGGTGATGCAAGGTGTCCCTTCGTGGTGCCAGGTGTCCCGTGGTGATGCCAGATGTCCCGTGGTGGTGCCAGATGTCCCACTGTGGTGCTGGCTGTCCCATCATGGTGCCAGATGTCCCACGGTGGCGGTGGGTGCCCCGTGGTGGCAGTGGGTGGGTTGTGGTGGCGGTGGGTGCCCCGCGGTGGCGGTGGGTGGGTTGTGGTGGCGGTGGGTGCCCCACGGTGGCGGTGGGTGGGTTGTGGTGGCAGTGGGTGCCCCGTGTGGCGGTGGGTGCCCCGCGTGGCGGTGGGTGCCCCACGGTGGCGGTGGGTGGGTTGTGGTGGCAGTGGGTGTCCCGCGTGGCGGTGGGTGGGTTGTGGCGGCAGTGGGTGTCCCGCGGTGGCAGTGGGTGCCCCACGGTGGCGGTGGGTGGGTTGTGGTGGCAGTGGGTGTCCCGCGTGGCGGTGGGTGGGTTGTGGTGGCAGTGGGTGTCCCGCGGTGGCAGTGGGTGCCCCGCGGTGGCGGTGGGTGGGTTGTGGTGGCAGTGGGTGTCCCGCGTGGCGGTGGGTGGGTTGTGGTGGCAGTGGGTGTCCCGCGGTGGCAGTGGGTGCCCCGCGGTGGCGGTGGGTGGGTTGTGGTGGCAGTGGGTGTCCCGCGTGGCGGTGGGTGGGTTGTGGTGGCAGTGGGTGCCCCGCGTGGCGGTGGGTGCCCCGCGGTGGTATCGGGGGGGCCGTGGCTCTGCCCGGTGTCCCGCGGTGGTGCCGAGGGTCCCATCACGGTGCCGGTTGTCCCGTCCTGTTTCTCGCCCCCCGCCCCCTTCCCCCCGCCCCCCGCGTGTCCCGGGGGGTCCCCACGGCGCAGCGCCATCCGCGGCCGCCAGGTGGCGCCGTCACGACCGAGGGGCGGAGCCAACCGGGCCCGGAGGCGGCGGGGGGGGCGCGACCGGGGGATCGCGACAGGGGGATCGCGACCGGGATCGGGGGGATCCGGAACAGGGTGATCGGGGGGATCGGGATCCGGAGGAGCGGGGGGGGCTGGACCGGGGAGCCGGTACCGGAGGGGCTCGGCGCGGGGGGAGCCGGGACCGGGGAGCCGGTACGGCGGCCAGGAGCGGTACCGGGGAGGCGGGGACGGGGGATACTGGTACCGGGGTGAAACCAGTGGGGGAGGCGCCCAGTAACGGGGGGGGGGGCAGTGAGGGAGGAGGGGGCTGGACCGGGCTGTGGGACCCGGTTACCGGCCGGGGCCGGGTGTACCGGGGGGGGGTCAGACCGGGATTGGGCAAAGTACGGGGGAGCGGGACCCCTCAGGGGCAGCGGGCTGCCCACGGGGACCTGTCCCCAGCCCCCGTGACCCGGGGGTGGTGCTGGTAGCGGGGGGGGGGTGGGGGGTTTGACCACCACCCTTGGGTGCTGCCTGCTCACCCCTTCTCTCCTTGCGCCGCAGGCGGGACCCGGGTGGGCACCGGCGGCACAGGAACCGTGCCGGCGGTGCCGGGACGGGATGGACGCCGGCGGTGCCGATCCGAGGCCACCGGGCCAGCGCGTGGCAGATGCCACCAGGGCCACACTGGCACCAGGCAGCCACGACCAGTCAGGCACCGGCAGCACCGGTGTGGGGACAAATCACCAGAACCAGGCAGATACCAGCAGCTCCAAACCAACGCCGGGGCACCGGGACGCGGCAGTCACCGGGAGCGCCGAGTTGGGAACACGACGCCAGGACACGGCAGATGCCGGCAGCGCCGAACTGGCCCCGTGGCACCAGCACGAGGAGGGTGCTGCCGCCAAGCCGAGCCGGCACGACGGTGAAACCACCGGCGAGGTCCCGGCAGCGGGCGCCCGGCCTTTTCGGTGCGGGGCGTGCGGGAAGCGGTTCGGGGCGAGCGCCACGCTGACGCGGCACCAGGCGCTGCACGGTGCCCAGCGCCCCTTCTCCTGCGCCGAATGCGGCCGCGACTTCTGCGACCGGGCGGCGCTGGCAACGCACCGGCGAGGGCACACGGGCGAGCGGCCCTTCGCCTGCGCCGAGTGCGGCAAAACCTTCGCCGGCAGCGCCGGGCTGCTGGTGCACCAGCGGGCCCACACGGGCGAGCGGCCCTTCGCCTGCGCCGAGTGCGGGCAGCGGTTCCGCCAAAGCGCCCACCTCGCCCAGCACCGCCAGGGCGCTCACGCCGCGGGGCGCCCGCACCCTTGCCCGCAGTGCGGCAAAACCTTCGCCCTCCGCTCCGCGCTGGCCCGGCACGCCCAGACCCACACGGGCGAGCGGCCCCACGCTTGCGGCGACTGCGGCCGTCGCTTCCGCCAGCGGGCCCACCTGGCCCGGCACCGTCTGGCGCACACGGGCGAGCGGCCTTTCCCCTGCGGCGAGTGCGGCAAAGCCTTCGCCCTCAGCGCCACGCTGCTGCGGCACCGCCTGGTGCACAGCGGCGAGCGCCCGCACCGCTGTCCCGACTGCCCCCGCGCCTACACCCAGAGCGCCTACCTGGCCCAGCACCGCCGCAGCGCCCACGCCGGCCCACGGCCCCACGCCTGCCCCGACTGCCCGCGGGCTTTCGCCGACCGCGCCAACCTCCTACGGCATCGCCGGGGTCACGCCGGCACCCGGCCCCACGCCTGCGGGCAGTGCGGGCGGCGCTTCGCCCAACGCGCCAGCCTGGTTGAGCACGGCCGGCGGCACACGGGCGAGCGGCCCCACCGCTGTCCCCAGTGTCACCGGGGCTTCCGGCAGCGCTCGGCGCTGCTGCGGCACCGGCGGGCACACGCCGGCGAGCGGCCATTCCCCTGCGCCCACTGCGGCCGCCGCTACAGCCGCAGCTCCAACCTCCTCCTGCACCAGCGGGTGCATGCGCCCGAGTAGCACCCAGGGGTGCTGCCGGGGGGGGGGGGGGGCTGGTTGTGTCACCCCGGTGCCGGAAATGTCGCCCTGGGCCAAGCCCCAGCCTTGACGTGTTTGCCCCCACAGGACAAGCACCGCCTGGTTAATTTTAAATAATGACAGTAAATAATTTTTAAAGAAAATATACAGCCGGGGTTGTTTTAAATAATAATAATAATTAAAAAAAAAAAAAAAAAAAAAGAAAATATACAGCAGTCACTTCCCCTCCTCCTCCCCAGCGGGGCACAGCCGGGCCTTGGAGGGGGGATTTGGGCCAGTGCAACAGTGCAGGAGGGAGGAAAAAATGGGGGTCCCTGGAGCCCCCCGCGTCACCCCAGCTTGGGGACGGCGCTGGGGACAAGCTGGGACGAAGGGGAAAGTGCGATGGGACGGGGGGGACACCCCTGGGGTGCAGAGGTAGTGCCGGCGCTCGGGCTCCGGCGGTAGCGGTTTGGGGGGGGGGGGCGGGGGGGGGTCAGGTGTGGGGTGCCGAGGGGTCGCGGGGTGGGTCGGGGCCGGGGCGGTGCCGCAGGGTCTTCTCCTCCTCCTGGGGACAGAGGGGACGTGTTGGGGACACTGGGATGGGGACACGGCACAGCACCTGCTTTGGGGGGGGGTCAGGCTGTCCCCGAGCCCACAGGGAGCTGGGGGACACGTGGGGGACACGTGGGGGACACGGATGGGGACACGGTGCAGCGCCCGAGGGGGCCCGAGCCCATTTGGGAGGGTCTCCATGGCCAGGGACACCCAATTCACAGGATCAGGGCACCCTTGGGCCCCCCCCACCCAGGCACACCCCATTTCAGAGGGTCCCCACAGCCACAACCCCCCCCATGCACAGCACCAGAGCACCCTTGGCTCCCCCCACGCCCAGGGGCACCCCACTTTGGAGGGTCTCCATGTCCACAACCCCCCCACGCACAGGATCAGGGCACCCTTGGCCCCCCCCACACCCAGGGGCACCCCGTTTTGGAGGGTCTCCATGCTCACACACCCCCCTGAACAGGATCAGGGCACCCTTGGCCCCCCCCACACCCAGGGGCACCCCGTTTTGGAGGGTCTCCACGGCCGGGGGCACTCACGGCCTCCAAGGCGCCGGCGCTGGCCCACTCGGCATGGGCGAACACGTCCTCCTCGCCCCGCGCCGGCTCCGGCCCCTCGTCCTCGTACTCGGTGAGGTAGTCGGACTCCTCTGGGGGGGGGCAAAAAGGGGGGTGCAGGGTGAGGGCCCCGGATCTGGCCCCGCACCGCGGACACCCCCTCCCCAGCTCACCGTCCGCGTATCCGTCGGACAAGTAGGGCTTGGCGGGCTCGATGCGGGACACGATCTCCGCCAGGTCGGTGAAACCGGCGCTGGGACACGTGAGCACCTACGGGAGGAAAAGAGGGGGGGCCCCCCCGATCAGCCCCCCCCCCCCTCCATGTGCGGAATGGGGAGGATGAGGGGAGCAGGAGGAGGGATGTGGGATGGGTGAGGGGATGGGAGGGTGGCAGGGGACACGGTGAGAGGGACAAAAGGTGAGAGGAGGTGGACCAAAGGGACAGGATAGACCAAGGAAGGGAGAGGAGATGGAGCAAGGGGACAAAAGGAGGATGGGGAGGGGGACAGGAGGTGGCCCAAGAAGGGGACAAGGATGCTGGGGGGGACAGGGGGTGGACCAAGGGGACAGGAGATGGACCAAGGGGACAAAAGGAGGATGGGGAGGGGGACAGGAGGTGGACCGAGAAGGGGACAAGAGGTGGACCAAGGAGGGGACAAGGATGCTAGAAGGACATGGGATGGACCAAAAGGACAGGAGGGTGGACCAAGGGGACAGGAAGATGCTGGGGAAGGGCAGGAGATGGACCAGGGTGGCAGGGTGAGGAGAAGGGACCAAGGGGACAGGAGGATGAAGTGGGGTGGGGAGGGACAGGAAGATGCCAGTGAGGGACAGGAGGACACTGGGTGGACAAGCTACACCAGGAGGGGTAGAAGGACATGGAGGAGACAGAGGGGACAAGGGACAAGGCAAGGTGCTGCTCCCTGAAGATGGCTCCAGGACCAGAAGGAAAAAAAAAAAAAAACCAAAAACCCAAAACCCTTAAAATGAGGGTGGCAGGGCCAGGGTGGCCCTTCCCAGGATGCCCCAGGGCAGGTCGCCGAGCAGCCACCACCCTCCACGGCCCCGGCGCCACCCCCGCTCACGTCCATGCGTTTGCTCTCGTAGAAGTCGGCTGAGCGCCGGTCCTTCACCATCTTCTCAATGATGTCACCCCGGCTCCAGCCGTCGAAGACCACCTTGCCGTGCTGGTACCCCACATCCTGCAGGGAGAACGGTCACAGCCCGCTGGTGGCCCGGGCACCCCAAACAACGGCCTGGGGCACCCCAAATGACAGCCCAGGCACCCAACCGATGGGTAGGACATCCCAACTGGTGACCCAGGGCATCCCATTGACGGCTGGGACACCCAACTGATGGCCAGGGTACCCCAAACCATGACTGGGATGCTCGACCTAGTCAGGACACCCCAAGTGATGGCCAAGGGTACCCCACTGATGGCTGGGGCACCCAACCAGTGGCTTGGGCACCCCAACCAATGGCCCAGGAAGCCCCAGATGATGACCTGGCTACCTGGAACGATGGTCCAGGCACCCCAAATAATGGCCAGAACATATCAATTGATGGTCTGAGCACCCCAAACGATAGCTCAGGCAGCCCCAGATGATGATCATCATTCCATTAACGGCTGGGACACCTGAACAATGGCTTGAGCACCCAATTGAGGGCCAGGGCACCCCAACATGAAGGCTGGGGCACCCAATCTATTGCTGGTTGACTTGACCTGAAGGCCAGGAGACCCTGTTAATGGCCTGGACACCCAACTGATGGCAAAGGCACTCCAATCCCTATCTGGGGCACCCCAGTAGTGGCCTGGGCACCCTATTAATGGCCAGGGCACCCCAACTGATGGCTGGAGAACCTCAACCCATGGGTCGGGGCGCCTCACTGATGGCCTGAGAAGCTCTAAAAGGTGGTCCAGGCCACCCCACCACCGGCCTCCTCGTCTCCCAACTCACGTAGATCTCGTCGAACTTGCCGAAATCCATCGTCTTGAAGTGGTCGATGGGGGGGCGGATGTACTCGCAGTACGAGCTGGACTTCACCACCTCCAACTGCCGCACGCACGACACGTAGGCCAGGCGGGACTGGATCTCCGCCATGTCAGGCACCTGCGTGGACGAGGTGCTCAGCACCCTGCCCGTACCGCCTCACCAGCTTCCCCACGTCCCATGGGTCCTCACCTTGACTTTTTCAGCCCAGGGGTTGAGACGTTTCCAGAGAAGCCACCAGCCAGACAGGCTGTCCCCGTAGTTGCACAGGTCCGTCTCGTCCTGGCTGCCCACATCGATGGCGATCACCGTCTTGGCGCCCATGCTGCGGGCGATGTCGGCTGCGCGGTGGGAAAGGAAGACGCTGGGTCGGCAGCGTCGCGGCCTCCCCGGGTCTGAGCCCGCGGCGAGGGGTGGTGGCACGAGTAGAGCAGGGAAGTGGGGGTGAGGGGTCGTCCCTGAGCCTGGGCTGGATGGCAAAGCCACGCTGGGGTTGTGGTGGGACGAGCAGTGTCCCGCGGGTGCCGGCGCTGGGGACGGGAGCCCGGCGGCAGGATGCGCCCGTGGGGAGCAGAGCACTGATGCAACCTCGTGCGGGTACTGGGGCAACGGGAGGGCACAGGCAAGTTGCAGCATCTGTGGTGAGATGTGAAGGAGCGTGGCGATGCCCCGGGAGGACATCGGGCGGTGAGGACACCAGGAGCCGATGTGAGGCGGATGGAGATGGCTGGCGGGCGGAGGAAGATGGAGATGCTCCAGGAAGGCACCTGGTGCTGAGGACATCAAGGGAAGATGATGGGACGTGAAGGAAGGTGGTTTGCATGTGAAGGAGGATGGAGATCCTCCAGAAGGATGCCTGGTGCTGAGGACTCCAAAAGATGATGCAAGATGGAGGCGGCTCAGCTATGAAGGGAGATGAAGATGCTGCAGGAGGGAACCCAGTGCTGATGGCATCAAGAGACGGTGATGCAGGCTGGAGGAAGGTGGCCTCAAAAGGAAGGAGCACAAAGATGCCACAGGAGGCCACTCAGTACCAAAGACACCAAAACATGGTGCAGGGTGGAGGAAGGTGACTTATGGGTGGAGGAGGATGAAGATGTGCTGGGAGGGCACCCGGTGCCACGGACACCAAGAGGTGACACAGAATGGAAGGAGAAGACTTGCAGGAGCATGGAGATGCTCTTGGAGGGGGGGGGGGGCGGTACCTGACATCCAGGACACCAAGAGGTGGTTTGAGCTGGGGGGAGGTGCCGTGCATGTGAAGGAGCATGGAGGGCACCTGGTTTCAAAGACACCAAGAGCGGGTACGAGACAGAGGGAGGTGTCTTGCAGGTGAAGGAGGGTGGAGAGGCCCAGGGAGGGCACCTGGAGCTGAGAACATCAAGAGAAGACGATGCGCAATGGACAAAGGTGGCTTGCATGTGATGAAGCATGAAGATGCCCCAGGAGGACACCGGGAACACTAAAGATGGTGCAGGATGGAAGGAGGGGGCCCGTACCGGCAGGAAGACAGAGATGCCCTGGGAGAACACCCAATGCCAAGGATGACGCAGGGTGGGAGGAGGTGGTTGGCCTCTAAGGAGCGTGGGGATGCTCTGGAAGGGCACCCAGTGCCAAGGACACCCAGGGATGATGCAAAATGGAGGGACATTTTTTGCACGTGAAGAAGGATGATCGGGGAAACCGCCTGGTGCTGATGACACCAAGAGACAACGTGAGGCTGTGTGACGTTTTTGACATGTGAAGGAGGATGAAGATGCCTGGAGAGGATGCCCAGCACCGAAGACACCAAAAGATGAAGGGATGCATCTCGCGTGTGAAGAAACATGAAGATGCCCGGGGAAGCCACCTGATACAGAGGACATCAGGAGACGATGTCAGATTGATGGCCATTTTTTTGCACGTGAAAGAGGATGAAGATGCCTGGAGAGGGCGCCCAGCAATGAAGACACCGGGAAGACGCAAAACCGAGCAAGACGTCCCAAATCCAACCTCAACGTCTCCGGCCACTGAGAACCCATCTTGTGGTGGCCACGCAGCCCCCACCCAGCCGCCCACCACCGCCCCCGGGGCCAGACCTGGCGCCGCAGTGGCTGCCACCCCGGTCGGGCGGTGGCGGTGACGGCGTTGAGCCGCTACTTGCCTGGCAGGTTGTTGATGTAACCACCGTCCATCAGTAAGTTGCCGTCCTTGGGGTCGCAGAGTGGCGGTAGGTACCCAGAAAGGGTCATGCTGGCTCGCACGTACCGCCAGAGCGAGCCTGCGCCGGCGGGAACAAACGCAATGAGCACGGCCCGCCTGAGATCCTCCCCCACCCCGGGGGGGGCTGCCCGTCGCCCCTGCCTGCGCCCGGGGACGTCGGCACCCCGTGGGTGCCCAGTGGGCACCTGCGGGTGGCAGAGGAACCCGTCGCACGCCCTGACCGGCCGTTTGCAAAGCCCAGGTGGCTCAACTTGGGATGGGATGTGGTTCTGGAAGGGTGGAAAGGGGTGGGGTTTGGTTTTGTTTTTTTTTTTGGAGGGGGGGGCCAGGGGCCCCGGCGAGCGAGGTGCTGACCTGGGACATTGTTAACATAGCAGCCGTCCACAAGCCAGTGGCTGTCCTTGGGGTCACAGAGCGGAGGTAGGTAAGGGGTATAAGACGCACTGGCTCGCACGTAACGCCAGAGGCTGCCTGCCGAAGGGAGAGGACACGGTCACGGTCACGGGGGGGGGCCGGGACGTGCCCGAGCACCCGGTGGCAGGTGACCGAGGGTGTTGGCACTGCGCCGGTGGGATGTCTGCAGCCCCAAGACCAAGGGGAGAGCACCTTGGCCACGGCAGGCTGGGGAAGGATGGACGTGCAAGACGCTCACCGGGAGGTTAGGGGTGGTAAGCGGGGATTAGTTGGCGTTAGAAGCCAGAGGAGCAGGCAGAGCGAGAGCCAGGCTGCTTACGAGCCACCGCGTGTGCCCCGTGGACGGCTCAATGTCCCAGGTGAGCTCCGACACCAGGCAAGGAGGAGGGGCAGCCACCGCAACGTCCCCATCACCGCAGTGCTCCCCCCACCAAGACGCCCCCTCCCGCCACCACATCATCTCCACCACCACGACGTTATCCCCGCCGCCACGTCTCCACCACCACCACCACCACCACGTTGTCTCCACCACCACCACCACGGCATCGTTCCCACCGCGTCCCCGTGCTCCACATGCCGTGAGTGTGGGTTACTGGGGTTAGTGGTGAGCAGATACGTTAGAGGGGACATGCATGCTAAGGGTGCCAGGATGCGGCTCCACACACCAATTCTGCCCCACAACCCCAGAGATGTGGGGTGCAGCCAGACCCCCACAGGGACCTGAGCCTGGTGGGGTCACCAGCACCAGGTGGCTCTGGGAAGCCACCACTGCCTGGGCTCACCGTGAGCCCGCCGAGCCCTTTTCCTGCCATGCCAGGATGTGGCATCCCCTTGGCACGTGGCAAACATTTGCCCGTGGGGCAGTGGCACTGTTTTGGGGTGCTGGTGAGGAGGGTCCCCACAAGTGGGGACGTGGTGGCACCGGAGAGCTTCCCCGGCTCCCCGGGGAGCTCTTACCATCCGTGTGCACCCGCATGGCCGAGGCCGTGATGTCCGTTGTGACGTTGAAGTAGGGCAGCCACAGGTCCTGTGGGGACAAGATGGGGTGGGTGACGCTGTGGGGACATGAGTGGGTGGGTGGGGAGGTGGCTGGAACTCTTCCCATGGGTGGGTGAAGCCCTGGGGGGGGGGAGGTGTGTCCCTGTGACGCACCTCAATCTGCTTGTCCTGGAAAACCTTGTTGATGCTGGCGTTGAAGGCTGAGCCCGAAAACATGGAGGTGATGGGGTAGGTGAGGTCCAGGACGGTCTCGAACACAGAATTCATACACTGGAGGAGAAGGAGGAGGAAGAAGAAGAAGGAGGAAGAGGAGAAGGAGGAGAAGGAGGAGAAGGAGGAGAAGGAGGAGAAGGAGGAGAAGGAGGAGAAGGAGGAGAAGGAGGAGAAGGAGGAGAAGGAGGAGAAGGAGGAGAAGGAGGAGAAGGAGGAGAAGGAGGAGAAGGAGGAGAAGGAGGAGAAGGAGGAGAAGGAGGAGAAGGAGAAATAAAGAGAAAATGAAAAGGAGGAGAAAGAAGCAGCAGCAGAACAAGAGAAGGTGAAAAAGCAGAAGGAAGAAAAAAGAAGAGGAAAAAAGAAAAAGGAGAGAAAGAGGAAGAGGAGGAGACAAGGAGGAGAAGAAGAAGAAAAGGAAGTAGAAAAAGAGGAAGAAGAAGAAGAGGAAGAAGAGGAAGGAGATGCTTTAGAAACAGCTTGGGCAGGGCTGGCCACGGGCAGGGCAGGCACCATGCCAGCGTCCTCCCAAACCACGGGGGCCGGTGCGGGTCAGCGTTTGCCTTCGCTGGGGCGGGGGACGTGCCACAGCACCCACCCTGGCCCACTCGCGCGCCCGCTGCTTGGTGCGGACGGCGCTGCGCTCCTCGGCGTAGAGCGCCCCGATAAAGGCGCCGATGGAGGTGCCCCCCACCATGTCGATGGGGATCCCCGACTCCTCCATCGCCTTGATCACCCCGATGTGGGAGCAGCCCCTGGATGGACGGATGGAGAAAATAAGGAGGAGGATGAATGAGGCGGGGTCACAGCCTGCCGCGGCGCGGCACCCACCTGGCTCCGCCGCCCCCCAGGACGAGGGCGATGGTGTTGCCGGTGAGGACCCGCGCCAGCCGGGAGAAGTCGCTGTGCCGGTCGGCGCTCTTCTCAAACACCTTCTCGTACATCTCCCGCTGCAGATGGGATGGACGGTGGGTGATGACGGCAGTGGCGGACCACCGAGGTCACCCAGGGGGACACACGTACCAGTTTGGTGGGGCTCCGGCGGGAGAAGACGCGCCGGGGACACTTGATGTGGAGGTGGCCCGAGCACCAGCTGCGCATGTTGAGCCACTCGACGGTGCGGGAAGGGCTGGGACCGTCCTCGCGGTGTAGGAGGACCAACTGCTTCAGCGCGCGCACCGCCGTGTTCTCCAGCATCTGCTCCAGCTGTAGAAGCCATCAGCCACCCGGCGCGGTGCTGTCCCACCGCCGCCTACCCCCCACCCTCACCTCTCCCAGCGCCGGCTCTTGGTCGCCCAACCCTACGATGAGGATGCAGTCGGCTTGACGGATGCAGCGCACGGTCCACGGCGTCAGGGTGCAGTCGGTTTGGTAGAGGACGATGCGGTGGATGTCCTCTTGCTGTGCCAGCCAGCCCGACAGGCGGTACTCCTGGATGCTGCCAAGGTGGAGGGGTCAGCCGGCGACATGGTGGTGGGTCGCCGGAGCTGCTCCTTCCGATGGGAGTTACCTGTCCAGCGCCGAGGAGCCGAGACAGGCACGGATGATGTCGCTGGTGAGGAGCAGCGTGGGACCTGGGAGAGGTGGGGACATGGTCACCACCGCGCCATGGGGCTGTGGTCACCAGCACGGTGTGGTCACCAGCATGCTGTAGGGCTCTGGTCATCACCATGCCATAGTTGCCACCGTGGCAAGACACTGTGGTCACCACCGTGCCACGGGGCTGCGACGGTCACCGTGCCATGGTGTCCACCACACGACAAGACCACGGCCACCTCCATGCCACGGGGCCACAGGCATCACCACACCAGGTCACTGGCGTGCCACAGGCCCACGGTCACCTCCACGCCGTGGCCACCACACTGCGGTCACCGCTGTGCTGGCGCTCACCGATGGCGTTGAGCGCGTGCTTGAGTTCCAGCGTGAAGGCGGCCATGGGCACGTCATCACACACCGGTAGCACCGCCACCGTCGACAGGTTGCTGGTGGGGTTGGTGGGCTCCGAGCTGGAGGCCATGCCCAAACTGGAGCCTGCGCGGACGGAGACAACGGGGTGGTGGCCACCCTCCATGCACTGCTCTGACGATGGCCACCAGCCCCGGAGAGGGCACCCTGTCGTCCCCAATCCCTTTGGGACCTACTTGCAAAGGGCCCGCGGAGCTGCTGGAGGTTTCCCAAGATCTTCTGGCTCAGGAGGTGGATGAGGCGGGTGACAACCTGCAGGGACGAGGACAGAGATGGCCATCAGACCTGGCAGGACTTCGCAAGCTGGAGACTCGCTAACACCCCGGATTGGTGTCCCACACATCTTTTTGGGTGCCACCACCACTCCACATCCTTGGGGACTTCAGAGAGGGACAACCCTTTAGCACATCAGCTCTTCTCCCTCAACAGCTCTAATCGCATCTTTAATTCCTTAATTTAAGCGGGTTTCAACGGGCGTCACAACCACCAGCTGAGGGGGACGTGGGGACGCGCTCCTTCCACGGGAAGGGGGTGCAGACCCCAAGGTGAGGATCTGGGGGTACCTGGGGGTATCTGCGCTTGATGTTGTTCAAGGTGCCCTCAGGCAGCTTGGCCAGCTCCGTGTCCCGGACCGCATGGACAGTGGTGGCACGGGGCTGCCGGGTGAGCGCTTCCACCTGGAGAAGAAGACACATAGCCAAGACGTACCGGCCAGAGGTCCAGGGCGTCCGCCGCCCGGCCCCGGCACGGCTCTCACCACGCCAATGAGGTCTCCACGGCCGTACTCCCCGATGAGCTCCTTCTTGCCGCTGCCCTTCTGGATGACGGAGCGGAGCCGCCCGTTGAGCGCGATGTAGGTGCAGTCCGACTTGTCCCCCTGCCTGGGGGACACCACCAGTGGGAGGTCAGCCCCCCCGCCAAGCTGGTTGGTCCTCACCAAGTCGAGGTGGGCGCCCACCCGCTGGTACCCGCCTGTAGAGCGCCCGGCCAGCCTCCACCGCCATCCAGTCGATGGCGAAGTCCATCTGGCGCACGAAGGGTGACATGCGGGCGGCCACGGTGTGGGCGACGCTCAGCACCACGCTGGGCTGCTCCCGCATGATCCTACGGGTCAACAGCAGTCGGGGGACACGACGGTGGCCCCAAGAGATGCCACCACAGCGCTCGCCGCAGGAACCCCCTTCGGCACCAACCCTTTGTCCCAAACCTCCACCGCCGGATCCGGGACTCACTCGTAGAAGTCCGACTTGGAGATCTTGAGGAAGGTGCAGTCACGGTTGGCCTTGATGGTGAAGATGAGGGGCTCGCCGGTGAGCACGGCCAGCTGTCCCACCATCTCGCCGGGCTGCGTCAGGAAGAGGCAGACGTCCTCCGCCTTGTCGATCATCCGCTGGTAGACGTGGAGGCAGCCCCACAGCACGAAGTGGAGGCTCACGTCCTGCCAAAATGGCACCCTATCACCGGTGGGGGCCACCTGGGGCCCCCAGGCATGACGGGTCCCACCAGCACCGCTCGGTGTTTCTTCTAGTCCTCTTCACAGGGTGCTTTGCACCCTCTGGATGATGCTGGGGGGATAATTCTTCCCCCCCACCCACCCACAGGGCAGGAGTAGGATGAGTAGCACCCCATGGAAATATAGGGCAGGAGGAGGAAGATGCCACCCCAATGTCCCACAACCCAGACCCACCTGGTCCCCTTGACGGGCAATGACTGTCCCAGCTTTGGCGTGATGGAGCAAGACGCGGTTGTTGAGGAGAGAAGGGTCCTAGAGGGAAGAACGGCGACACGTGAGGTGATGGGGATCACCAGGAGGAGATGGGGAGTACCAAGGGGAGATGGGGACCACCCCAAAGTGACAGGCATCACCAGGAGGAGACCCACCACAAGGAGATGGGGCGACCATCCCAAGGAGATGGAAGACTACCCTGACGCCGTGAGGACCACCGTGAAGAGACAAGGGACCAACACGAAGTGACAGGGACCCACCATGAAGCAAGAAGGGCTACTACAAAGTGACAAGGGACCAAGACGAAGTGACAGGGACCCACCATGAAGCAAGAAGGGCTACTACAAAGCGACAAGGGACCAACACGAAGTGACAGGGACCCACCATGAGGTGGCAGGGGACCACCACGAGGCAACGGGACCCACCATAAAGCTACAGGAGCCCACCGCAAAGCAACGAGGACCCACCACGAAGCGACAAGGCCCACCCCAAAGCCACGCTCCCCGCCCCGTGCTGGCGCCGCTCCTGCCCTCACCTCCACCTTCATGAGCTTGACCAGCTCCCGCTTGGCAGCCTCGAAGACGGCGCTGGTCTGGCGGCCCTGGTAGGGCCCGAAGAGGCAGTCCGCGGCTGACGATTCGTCCTCGCAGTAGTTGTAGTGGTAGACACCAGAAGGCTGCTCCTCCACCGTCACCGACTTGCGCTCCTTGGGCTCGTGAGAGACGGACTGGGGGCAGACGGGACGGCTCCGGCACCCGTCCGCGGCCGCCCCGGCGCTGCCGGTGGGGGATTCGGGCGGACGCGGCGGTGCCGGATCTCACCCGGGAGAAGGCGGCCAAGGCGCCGGTGCTGTCCTCCTGCAGCGACACCGAGATGCGGCCGCGCTCGTAGGCCATGTCGAAGTCGGAGCGGGGACCCTTCTGGATGCCTGCGATGGGTAAGGGGGGGGCGGGGGGGGACCGCAGGGGGTCACCGGTGTCCGAAATGGGGTTGCTGGGGGGGTTCGGGGAGGGGGGAGATGCACGAGCACCGGGTGGGGGGATGCTCTGGGGAGGGGGGAAGCACAAGCATGGGGGGGCTGCATGACACTGAGGGGGTGCGTGAGCATTTCTGGGGGGATACGTGACCTGGGGGGGGGCGATGCATGACACTGAAGGGGGATATATGACCCTGGGGGGGTGCATGAGCCTAGAGGGGGGACACGAGCCTTTCTGGGGGGATACATGACCCTGAGGGGGTGCATGAGCCTTTCTTGGAGGGGATACATGACCTGGGGGGGGTTCATGAGCCTTTTTGGGAGGGATGCATGACCTAGGGAGGGGGATGCATGAGCCTGGGGGGGGCTGCATGACACTGAGGGGGGATACATGAGCCTGGGGGGGCACACGCATGAGCCTGAGGGGGACCCACAAGCCTTTTTGGGGGCATGCATGACCCTGAGAGGGGTGCAGGAGCCTTTCGGGGGGGGCATATGTGACCTGGGGGGGGGTGCGCATGAGCCTTTTTGGGGGGGGGATACATGACCTGGGGAGGGGGATGCATGAGCCTCAGGGGGGACACACATGAGCCTTGGGGGGGGGACATGAGCCTTTTTGGGGGAGATGCATGACCTGGGGAGGGGGATGCATGAGCCTGGGGGGGGTTACATGACCCCAGGAACCCCACCCCCCCGACTGCCTCCTCCAGCTACAGACCCACCGGAGATATCCACCGGCATGGAGATGCAGCGGCTCAACGGTGGCGGCGGTGGCGCGGGGGTCTCCAGGCCTCCGGCTTTCAGCGGGTCGGCTGCAGGAGGAGACCACCCTGAGCCCCCCCACCGCAGCGGTGGCGGCGTGGGGGGGGGGGGTCCCAGCACCCCCTTTCCTGGCTCTTACCCGGTTCCCTGCCCTCGTCGGCGCTGCTGAGCCCCCGCTTGCCGTGGCGGACGGGGCTGGTGCGGGCGGCGTGGCCGGGCTGGGGGAAGAGCCGTAGCGGTTGCATGTCCTGTAAAGGGGGGGGGACATCAGGGGGGTGGAGGGGGTGTCCAGATCCAGCCCAACCCCCCCACTCTCCGCGTGGGTGTGCGTGTGTGCCCCCCGCCCCCATTTTTGGCCTCAACTCACGTGGCTGAAGAGCTCATTTGTCAACCCGAGGTAGTTGTGCAAAGCCAAGAAGGTGACGCGCTGCAGGCGCACCATGATGATCTAGAGGGGGACCAGAAGCCATCAGTGGTCCCTGTCACCCCCGAGGGACCCCCAACCCCCCGCCACCGTGGGCCCCTCCAACCTGGGCTCACCTGCACCACCCGCACCAAACTCTCGGGGTACTTCTCGAAGACGGCCGAGAAGGCTTCAACTGGCAGCCGTAGGATGGTGGAGTCCTCTGCCGCCCGGGCGCACACCGTCCGGTATGGGCGCTGGTGGCCCTGGGTGACATGCCATGGTGTTGGTGGCCTTGCCGGGATGGGGGACAGTGGCAGCTGGGGGCTGGCGAAGCCCACTGGTGGCACTGGGCTTTTGGCTGGTGGGGCTTGGGGACGGCCATGGTTGGGTTGGAGGAGTGTAGGGACGGCCACAGTTGGGCTGGAGGGGCTTGGGGACCACGGGTGGGGCTTCGAGATGGCCACAGTTGGGCATGGAGATGGCCATGGTTGGGTTGGGAAGGTTTGGGGACATCTACGGTCAGGCTGGGGGGGTTGGGGACACCTGGTGGGGCTTGGGGACGGCCACAGTTGGGCTGGGGAGTGTTTCGGGGTGGCCACGGTTGGGTTGGGAGGGGCTATGGGATGGCCACGATGAAGCTTAGGGGGCTTGGGGATGGCCATGATCGGGTCTAGGGGGACTGGGGTCAGCCACAAGCATCCTGGAACAGTTTGGGGACAGCCACCACCAGGCTTAGGGGCCTCGGGGACAACCACAAATCGGCCGCGGGGACAGCCAGGGCGTCGGTACCGTGATGACATCAAGGATGCTGAGCAGGCTGTGCACGCTGTCCCCGGGGAACACCTCCTTCATCACCGTCTCCTTCCCGTCCTGCGAGGCACAAAACCCCCTTTTTGCTCATCGTGTCCCCAACCCCCTGCCACCGCCCTGTCCCCCTCGTTGTCCCCGGCCCCGCACCGGTTCGGTGAGGAAGAGCTCCAACTTGCCATCCTGCAGCACGTAGATGCTGGTGTCGGGTTGTCCGGGTCGGAAAACGTAATCCCCTTGTTGGCACTGCTGGAAAACCATGTGCTTGCAAAGCTCCAGGAACAACGGCTTCTCGAAGTGGCCCAGCACCCTGCGGGGACGAGGACGGGGACAGCGGGTGACACGGCGCCCGCTGGGACCTGTCGTCACCCTCTGACCGGTTGTCAGAGCGACGGGGGATGCAGAGGGAAGAGCATCCTTCGGCGGAGTGGCCCAGCCTCCCCTTACAAAGGGTTTCCGGGGTTGGAGCCTGACCCTGGGGCCTGATCCTGAACCCCGGGGCCTGATCCTGAACCCCATGGGCCTCATCCTGACCCCCAGGGATGGATCTTGAACCCTGGGGCCTGATCCTGAACCCCATGGATCTGATCCTGAAGCCCCTGAGGCCAGATCCTGGCACCTCTGAGGCCAGATCCTGACTGCCAAGGATGGATCCTGATCCCCAGGGATGGATCCTGATTGCCCTGAGGCCTAATCCTGACCCCCATGGGCCTCATCCTGACCCCTAGGGCCAGATCCTGATCCCCCTGGCACCAGACCCCGACCCCCAGGGATGGATCTTGAACCCTGGGGCCTGATCCTGAACCCCATGGGCCTGATCCTGACCCCTGGGGCCAGATCTTGACCCCCAAGGGTGGATCCTGAACCCTGGGGCCTGATCCTGAGCCTCTCTGAGGCCCAATCCTGACCCCCATGGGCCTGATCTTGATCCCCTGGGGCCCAATCCTGATCCCTCAGGGATGGATCCTGATCCCCCTGAGGCCTAATCCTGACCCCTCTGAGGCCAGAACCTGACCCCTGTCACCAGATCTTGACCCCCAGGAACGGATCCTGAGCCCCCCCCCGGACGGATCCTGAGCCCCCCCGGGACGGATCCTGAGCCCCCCCGGGACGGATCCTGAGCCTCACCGGACATTTTTGAGCATGTAGAGAACCTCGGAGGGAAGATGGGAATTGGCCACGTCGAATTCGGTCAAATCGGCTTCCAGCACCGAGGGCGGAGGCTCCTTCAGCTGGAGGGTGGGCAGCTCCTTCTGGATGCGCAGGAACCTTGGGGACAACGAGGTGACATCGGGGCACGGCCCCCCCCCCCCGCCCGCACGCCCCCCCGGCCCCCCCCCGGCGCTGGTGGCACCTCACTTTTTAGCGATGTTGAGCATTTTGAGTTTTTTCTTCATCCGGGGCCGCGAGGTGCTGGAAATGGTGGTGTCCACCAGGGAGGAGGTGGATTGGGAGACCTGGGGTTGGGGACACCAAGGCGGGGGGGGGGTGTCACCTGACGGTGACACCGCGACGTCGCCCCGGCTGCCACCCCGAGCGGCACCACCTTGCGCATGATCTTGCGGCCGTAGAAGAGCATCTTGTCCCGCTTGCGGAAGCGATACTTCGGCGTCCCCTGCGCGGGGATTTCTGGGGAGCGATGGGGGATGGGTTAGTGGCAAGGCGGGGGGGGTGGGGGGCAGCCCTGTCACCTCCTGTCCCCAAGGCCACCCCGCGGCGGTGTCACTCACTCTTCAGGCGCAGCCGGCGGACCAGGACCACGATGGCGGTGGCGATGATGATGGTGAAGACGCCGAGGCCGAGCACCGCCCCCAGCACCTGCGGAAGGAGAAAGATGGGGGGGGGGGGGTCCCCATGCTGCCCCTGGTGCCCCCAAGGGGACGGGTGACGCTGCCACCTCGGTGACACGGAGGGACGGGGCGGGTTGGACAGCATCAGGGATCTGTCCCCAAGGGCGTGGGGACACGTTCACGTCCCTTCAAGGGTGCTCAACTCGGACGCTGTCCCCTGGGGACACATTTTTGTCCCCTCGGGGGGTGTTGGGCAGCGCTGGGGGGGGGGGGGGGTGGGGGGGGGGTGGGGGTAACGCCATCGTTTGGGGACGTGGGGACAAGTTTGTGTCCCCCCGGGGGTGCTCACTGCGCCGGTGGGGAGCTGCTTGGCCAGCACGGCTGTCAGGGACGCATCCTGCGGGGGGGGACAAGGGGACGGTTGAGTCACTGGTGATCCCCCACCTCCCCTCCCCCCCCGGGGTGGGGACACACAGTGGGGGGGGGGGATGTGACTGTCACCCCCATCCAGCCGCGGTGACATTTCCTACCTCCGCCTCCTCCTGCGGCTCCGACTCGCTCTGCCCCATGGCCGCGGGGGGGCTCTGCCCATGCAAAATCCTGCGGAAACGGGGGAAAACGGGTTAAAAAAAACAAAGAAAAACCAACCAAAACCAAACCAAAATTGGAGGTTTGTGACCCACGACGGCCACCAAGGGATGGGTGACGACAGGGTGACATCCCTGCAGGCAGCAAAACTCTGCTGGGGGGGGTGGGTTTGGCCCTGATTTGCTGCGTGGCGGGGTGTCCCCAGGGTGTCCCCAGGCGCTCAGTGACATCGGGAGGGATTTGGGGTGTTTCCCACCCACCCCACCCCCCCCCAAGTTGGGGACCTCAGCGTGTGTGTCCCCCCCCACCCCGGGGGAAGAGGAAGCGGTGGCAGGAACCTTCCCATTGCGACAGCCCCGGTCACCCGGTCACCCCGCTGCAGGACGAGGGTCCCCAGGCTGGGGGGGGGAAGTTTGGGGGGGGGACCCAGCCCCGGTGTGTCATCCACCTGGGTGTGTGTGTCCCCCCCCCCGTTCCCTGTCACCACCGTCCTTCCCAAGGACACCCCGGGGAGGTGACGGTGGCCCCGGCGGGCACCGGAGCGGGGACGTCACCGAGGCTGGCATATGTCACCCCCCCAACCCCCCCCACCCCCCCCATTTTTGAGGGGGGGACGGACACACACACACACAGCCCAGCGCCGCGGTGCGGGGGGGGGTGGTGACACCCCCCCAATGGGTGACAACCGCCCCCCCCACCCTCCCCAAACTGCTGCCCCCTCTTACCCCCATCAGTCCGTCCCCCCCCCCCCCCAATATTCCTCCCCCCCCCAGCTGCTTCTACCCCTCCCTAACGCAATATTAGCAATCCCCAAATTTCACTGCCCTCCCCCCGCCCCAGGGCAAAATCCGCCCCCCCCCCCCCCCCCCAAGCCGCTATTGCCCCCCCGGCTGCTATTGCCCCCTCCCCAGCCCCCATCACCCCCCAGATCCTTTTGCCCCCCCCCCACCTTTACTCCCTCACCCCCCCCAAGGGCTACAATTGCCCCCCCCGAGCAAATCCTGTCCCCCCCAGCTCCCCCCCCCGCAGCTAGCATTGCCCCCTCCCCAGTCTAATATTCCCCCCCCCCGCTAATTGGGGGAGGGGGGGACTCATGCTGCCCCCCAACCCCCCCCAGGCGTTCTTGCCCGCTCCCCAATCTAACATCGCCCCCCCCATGGGCTGATATTCCCCCCCAATAGCATTTATTGCCGCCCCCCCCCCATATTGCCCCTTTGCTGCCCCCCCGAAGCGTACTGCCCCCCCCAAACTGCCCCCCTCGAGTGGTTCTGGCCCCCCCCCCCACGCCAAGACGGACCGAGCCCCCCCCCTCCCCGGGAATCCCCAAAGTGGGTGCTGCCCCCGCACCCTCCCGGGGCGATAATGCCCCCCCTCCCCCCCGCACTCACCAGCCGCCGGTCGCCGCCCCGCTCCGGCCTCGGCGGTAGCGGCGGCCCCCGCTGGGGTCATGGTCCCTTTAAAGCCGCCCCGCCTCTCCCGCGGACGTCACGCGGGGAGGGGCGGGGAGGACGGCGCGGCGCTGGCGCCATCTTGAGAAGGTCAGGCGAGGGGGGAGGCTGTGCGGCCGAGAGGGCGGGCGCCATTTTCAGTGTGGCACGAAGTGGGGGTGTAGTGACGTCATCACAAGTCGACGGCGCGGGAGGGCGGGGGTGGGTCTTGGTGCGCACCGCGGCGCCATCTTGGGAGTGGCAGGGGAGGGCGGCGGGGGGAGGGGAGAACCCCAAATCTGGGAGGGGGGGGGGGGGGGCTGTCCCCAGGGGTGGGGACACAGGACCACCCTCAGGCCTGTCCCCTTGGGCACCCCGGGGCGGCAGCACCCATTGTCCCCGCTATGGGCGCCCCAATGTGACAGCACCCACGGCCCCACTGCCAGCCCTGTCCCCGCCGCGGGTGGTGGCACCACGGCCAGCCTTGTCCCCATAGCTGGTGGCACCCTTGTCCCTCCCTGTGCACCCTGGGGTGACAGCACCCAGTGCCACCCCTGAGTCCCTATGAGCTCCCCAGGGTGCTGACACCACTCTCAGCCCTGGTCCCAGGGGTGGTGGCACCCACTGCTGTCCTTGCCCCTCCACGGGCACCCTCTGGTGGCACCCACCGCCAGCCCTGTCCCCCCATGGGCACCCTGGGGTGACAACACTCATCCCCCACCCATGGGCACCCCGGGGTGGCAGCACCCCTTGTCCCCCACCCATGGGCACCCTGGGGTGGCAGCACCCATTGTCCCCCACCCATGGGCACCCCGGGGTGGCAGCACCCATTGTCCCCTCCATGGGCACCCCGGGGTGGCAGCACCCATTGTCCCCCACCCATGGGCACCCCGGGGTGGCAGCACCCACCATCCCACCTCCAGCCCTGGGACCCCCAAGGGTGACTGCACCCCCAACCCCACAAGCACCCCTGGCCCTATAGGTGCTGGCACCCACTCCCCGCGGCGCAGGGGGTCCCACAGCAGCACAGACCCACTGGTCACCCAGGGGGCTTTATTCTCCCGCACCGGGGGCACCCACTGGGACCCCCCCACAGGGCACGACCCCCGCTCCCCAAACCGGGGAGTAAAACCCAGAGCGAGCACCAACCCCCCCAGCTCCCCCCAAGGCTGAGACCAGCCACAACTCAGTCCATGAATGAAAGAGGCGTTCAGAGCAGCGCCGGTCGCCCCCATCGCCGGCAGGACCCTGATTTGGGGTTAAATTTGGCCTTTTTGGGTGCTGGGAAGGCAGGCGGAGGCAGCGGTGCCTGGTGCGAGCGGCCGCTGGCCCCGCTCCAGCCGGCAGCAGCTGCTCCGCCGCTTACAATCCGCGACCTTGACCCGTCCTGCTGCGCGTAAACAGCCCAAACCGCAGCCCCCGAGGACAGGGACACGCCACCCGTCTCGCTCTTACCCCAGTGCCCCGGTCCTGGGGGGGGTGGGGGGGAGTGGAAGGGGGGTTTGGGGGGGTCAAGGGGTGCTGCTGCGACCCTTTGTGCCTCGGAGCTGCCTGCAAAATGGCTGTGGGGCTTGGGGACAAGGGCAGGGATGAGTCCCCAACACGGCCAGGGGTTGGCTCGGCTTGGGGACAAAGCCCCCAGCACATCCCTGACACATGCAGGGCACTGTAGGGCTTGGGGACAAGGACAGGGATGAGTCCCCAACCTGGCCAAGGAGCTGCTTGGGGACAAGTCCCCAATGTGGCCAAGGGGTGGCTCGGCTTGGGGACAAGGGCAGGGACAAGTCCCTGACGGGACCAAGGGGCTCAGGAACGAGTCTCCAAGGTGGCCGAGGGGTAGCTTGGCTTGGGGACAAGGACAGGGACCAGTCCTTGATGCAGCCAAGGGGCTGCAGGACTTGGGGACAAAGTCCTGACAGTGCCAGGGGACTGCAGGGCTTGGGGACAAGTCCCCAGTATGGCCAAGGAGTGGCTTGGCTTGGGGACAAAGCCCCCGGCACATCCCTGACACGTGCAGGGCACTGTAGGGCTTGGGGACAAGGACAGGGATGAGTCCCCAACCTGGCCAAGGAGCTGCTTGGGGACAAGTCCCCAAGATGGCCGAAGGGTGGCTTGGCTTGGGGACAAGGGCAGGGACAAGTCCCTGACGGGACCGAGGGGCTCAGGGATAAGTCCCCAGTGTGGCTGAGGGGGTGCTTGGCTTGGGGACAAGGGCAGGGATGGGTCCCCAATGTGGCCATGGGGCGGCTTGGCTTGGGGACAAAGCCCCCGGCACATCCCTGCCAGTGCCAGGGGACTGCAGGGCTTGGGGACAAGGACAGGGACGAGTCCCCGGTGCAGCCAAAGGGTCGCAGGGCTCCGAGTTGAGCCCCCAAACTATGGCTGGGGGGTCGCAGGTTTCTGGGCTGAGCCCCCCGCAAATGGCTGGGGGGGGGTGTGTCGCAGGGCTCCGGGCTGCCCCCCAAAACAGATCTGTGAGGTTACAGAGTTCCAAGGTGCCCCCCTAAAACACATCCAAGGGGGTGCAGGGAGGGCTCCACGCTGAGCCCCCGCGGGGTGCCCGGCTCCGGTTCGGGCCAAGGGTCCGTCGAGAAAAATAACAGGGCCACAAGAGACCACCTGGTGTCCCCCAGGTGCAGGGGACACAGCCACCGCCTCTCCCCCCTCCCTCTTTGGGGTCCCCGAGCTGGTAAAAGCAGACGATAAAATAAATTAAAAGCGCTCGGGGCCGGGGGGGAGCACGGGGCACCGGTGCCTCGTGTCCCTGGGGGTCTGCGGCGAGGGACCCTCCCTCAGTTCACCAGCAGCGCGTTGTCCTGTAGAGGAGCCCTGCGGGGAGACAGGGCTGGTCGTAACGGGGGAGAAAACCCGACGGATTTGGGAAAAGGGGGTTTCAGTTTTCTAATAAGTCAGTCGTAGCGAAGGGGAGCCCTCCCCTCCGCCAGAAACAGGCAGGGAGAGGTGAGGGGGGGACACAGGGAGGCCACGCACCCCGGTTATACCCATGTGGAGGGGTCCCCACAGGCACGGAGCCATTTTGGGGCGGCACGGAGCCATTTTGGGGTGACATGGAGCCATTTTGGGGCGCCGGCACGAGACTCACCAGCACGGAAAAAGGCTGGGAATCCCATGGGATCAGCCACATATGAAGAGCCGGTGGCAAAAACAGCCATAAATCCTCTCCCAGCACACAGGAGGCGGGTCGCAGAGCGTACCCCAGTCCCAATCCACTGGCTAGAAGCCCCCCAACCCCGCTGCCCCCCCCCCCAAGCACTGGAGCTGCCCGCTCACCGCTCGCAGCAGCAGAAGACGGAGCAGGACGAGGCGCTGTCGCGACGGTACTTGCCCGATTTGGGGCTGTCCTTGCACTGGGCGATGTAGGCGTGGAGCTGGGAGACGGGCGCTTCGCCCTCACACTGGTGCTGTGGGGAAAGGGGATGGGGAAGCCGTTCGGCGCGGGGGACTGGGACTCACCCCCCGCCTCTCCAAAAAAAAACAAAACCCCAAAAACCCCCCAAGCCATGTCCTCACCTTAATGGTCTCGTAGGAGCCGGTGATGAGGGCGATGAAGAGGCTGAGGACCATGTAGATGAAGAGGCTGATGAAGGTGTACAGGTAGATCTGGCTGAAGAGCCACACCAAGTAGCTGTTCTGTTGCATCTCGGCGAAGGTAACGAACATATCGTCGCCGTTGATGAGGGAGAAGAGGCACTCGGACACCATGGAAAGGGATCGGAACTGGGAAGGGAGGTGACGGAGGGCTGGCAGCCGGTCCAAGCCACTGTGTCACCTCCTGCACCGCTGGGCTGGGAGCTCCCAAGGAGGGAGCGAGCGCTCGCCGACACCCTACGCTGTTTCGTGAGAGGCTGCGGCAACGAGCGGCGCCGTATCTAACCCGAAACAGGGCCTGGCTCCACACCCATCTCCTCCCAAATCCCCGCAGGGAATCGCCCGGAGGTGGGTGAAGCCCACCCTAACCCCCGACCCAAGCGGCACCTTGACGTGGTAGGGGCCCAACACGATCCACCCGCAGAAGCAGTAGCCCAGGTAGATGACGGCCACGCAGCAGCAGAAGCGGATGACGTTGGGGAGGGCCACCCGCAGCGTGACGATGAGGATCTGGTGGAGGAAAACCAGTCGGGATTAACCTGTTTTCCACCAAGGGTGCCAGCAGGAAGGGACCCAGCAGCGGTTACGACACCCTGTGAGACCCCACGGTCCCCAACAGGGCAGGATGGGGACCCTGAGGACACACAGAGCAGCTGTAGGAGGAGCCTGAGCTCGCCCAGGTGCTCAGGGCCAGGCTGGCACGGCCATTCCCAGCCCTGGGAATTGTCCCCTCAGCTCCCAGGTCACCTCCCCGCTGTCACTCACGTTGTACTTCTGGAAGAAGGTGAGGTAGCGAATGACGCCGACCCAGACGAGCAACGTGGAGGTGCCCAGGAGGATGCTGCAGACGTCGTAGCTGGCAAAGTTCTGCAGGGACAGAAGCGTCACAGGCCTGAAGGCACAGCCAACGCTGGCCTCAACGTCCCCACCATCCCCCCCAAAGCCCTAACAACCCTCTGCACCGGCCACAGGCTAGCGGAGAGCGAAATCCTGGTGCCACAAGCCACAACACAGCAGCAAGACAGGACGGTGCCCGTCCCTTTGTTGCCACCTCCTTGTCCCAGAGGGAAAGGGGGGGTCTGGGGTCCCACCCGGGCCAGATCTGTGAACCCCTCAGGAGTGACATCTGTCCCCTAACCCGCCGTCACGGCTCTGATTGCATCCAAGACAGCTTCACCGGGGCAAACAACGCGTCGCCAGTGCCCAAGGGGTGGCTGTTGTGTGGCTTGCCTCCTGCCACGCGGAAACATCCCCTCCCCGGCCCACGGGGACGCCCGTGCCAGCTCCCCCAGGATCTGCAAACCCTCCAGCTTTGCTCCCCAGTGTCCCCGTGTACCTTGGACTCGATGCCAATCTTCATGATGGTTCCCAGCACGGTGAGGACGTCGCTGATCACCAGGAGGATGTACCAGCCGTTGAGAAACTCCATGCGGTCCGACAGACACACGCTCTGGTTGTAACGGCGCTGGAAGAACCGGCTGAACTCCTGCGCGGGGAGGAGAAGTGGGGGTCCTTTACCCCCCACCCCGGGAGTTTTGCCCGTCTCGCAGCACCCACAGCTCGGACTGAGCATCCCCCGTGGGGAAAGGGCTTCCTCCAAAACCCGGCAGCGCCAAAACAACGTCCCAGTGGTAGCTCTGTCCGTCCCCACCGGTCAGGCCGCGGAGGGTGGCTGCGGTTAGCGTCGCTTCCCACCGTCCCACCACTCACGTGCTGCAGCATCAGGCCCCGGATGATGGAGCGAGCGCAGAGGATGAAGGACAGCGAGCAGACGAGGATGACGACGACGTCGAAGAACAGCCGGAAGGAGTTGTCACCTGCAAGAGGCGCAGCGGCTCTTCTTCACGAGGGGGACAAGCCACCCAGGAGCACCCTGAGCCCCCCCCGCAGCCCTGTGGCACCCACTGGGGACAGATGCCACCTTTGTCACGCCCTCACGGCTCCTACCTCGGCCGAAGACGCTGGGATCTTTGCATTCCTTGATGTCAGCCTGGTTGTCGAGGCGGATTTTCACCCGGCCGCTGTGCGCCTTGTTGTCAAACGTGATCTGGAGAGAAGGAGGGGACACACACACACACAGTTACCACCCCTAAAACCACCCTGCAGCTCCCCGTTGCTGCGACGCTGCCTGTACCCGGTCCCCAAAAAGGACGTTGCCACCCCAGTGCAGCCCAACTGGATCACCCCAAAGCGGGGAGTGGTGCCGATGCACTCACGGTGATGGTGAAGGTGTAGCAGTCGGGGATCTCATTGTTGATGATGGTTTGGATGTTGATGGCTTTCAGCTTGAATTGGATGGTGACGTTGATGAGCCTGGGGGAAGGGACATTTGTTAATTCTCCTGCTGGGGGCTTGGCCAGGGTGTCTCAGCCCCCTCAAAACCCCAAAACACAGCACCAAGAGTCAAACAACCGACAGAAAGGGAGTAAACACCTTCCTTGGGGGTGCATACAGCCCCAGGACAGGGTGTCTCCAGCTTTAGAGGAGCTAATCACACCCAACCTGCCTCAGCGTCGGTGAATTTTGCTTCAAGGGGGAAGTTAGAACTCTGGAAGAAATGGTGCCGCAAGCTACACCCCATCTCTCTGCACCAGCAGCCGAATACCGGCAAGAAGATGGGGCCTGTCCATGCTGATAACGTGCCCACAACTCTGGGGCTTGGCCACGGGCCATCAAAACGCTGCCAAAAGCCAGTGCAGGGCTTTGAGGAAGGGAAAACAACCCCCAGCACGGGTGTTGCATGAGAGCTGTGGCGCCTCGAGGCCGGCTCTGCGGCCGACACCGATGGAGATGGGGCCGGAAAGCAGCTGCTTTGTTGTGCAACCTCACTGGTTTCACATCTCCCTCGGCACAAGGGTGGATTTGTTTCTATCCCACGAATGGTTTTTAAAACAGACTGGGACTTTTCCATCCTGGCAACAGTCTTCAGCACAAGGAATTCCCCACGTTGGGGTCCCCGTTCCACCCTCGCCCATACCCTGCGCCGGTGGGACGTCCCCAAAAACTGGGGAACCCCGGATTGCAGGGAAGGCATCGGCCATTACTTGTGAAATTTGAGAGTGAAGTTCTTGTAGCTGCGATCCAGCTCTGGGGGAAGAGTCTGTGGGTCCTCGGGGTCCACTCCCAGGCAGTCTGCAGGGAGGGAGAAGCACCTTCAGGGAAGCCCGAGGCCCCACAAAGACCCCTTGAACCCTCTCAAGCCCAGAACTTGGACCAAAACCCACCCCGGGATGCAGCGGTGGCTGTGGGACAAGGAATCTCAGCCCCACCGTCCCCAAAACCCACCCGTGACAATCTTGGGGTCGATGTTGAAGGTGTCGTTGGCCGGATCGATGCGCCCTTTACGGTAGTATTGCTGGCACAGCATGAGGGCTGACTGGTTCCCGCCGCTCTCCCCCCGCACGTAGGCATAGCGGCCGATGGTCTCGTTGGGAATGGCCAAGTACTGGAGAAGGAGATGCCTTCAGCAGCTGGATGTGGCCTCAAGCCACCTCCGTTGTCCCCCCCTACCCCAGGATCTCACCTTCTCCATGGCATAAAACATGCGGTCGTAGAGGTCGCGTTGCGTGTAGACGGCGTAGGAGTCGTCCGCGCCGTCCACGTAGTCCTTGAGGAAGAGGTGTTTGAAGGCGATGGTGTTCTCCTCCTTGAACGTCACCACCATCTGGTTGCTGAGCCCAAAGAGAATGAGCTGAGGGACAGAAGAGCCCACGATTAAATCCCTGCCCTGGCAGCTCCATAAACAACGACGCCTTGATCCAAAATGCAGCAGTTTCACCCCAACGATGCTCACAGGGGGCAAAGTGCCATCACCCTACACTTGGGTGGCACCAAGACGCCAGGGGCCAGCTGGCACGTCCCCAGGGTTGTCCCCATATCCACTTGGTTGCCCTAAAATCCCTTAAAATGGCTGGTTTCCTGTGGCAAAGCTCCTCTCCCATCGCAGAGGGGGGGAGGACAATCTCCTCGGGGACACGCACGGACCCCTCCCAGTGTCACCAAACGCCCCGTGAACGCGACAGCAGAGCGGACCCTGATCTTCCCTCCTCTTGGTCAGCATTTTCCCTTCCTGCACGCTCTGAACCCCTCCTCGTGCCGGTAATTAGCTTGTATTTATTAACACAAAACGCCGCTTGTTAGCGCTGCTCGGCCGCGCCTCGTGACTGCGGCCCAGCAGCTCCCAGGGGATTTCTCCACCCTGGGACGGAGCCTGGCGCCCGTGGAGGAGCTGGTGACGCTGTGTGTGGGGGGGTGTCCCTTCTGTCCCCCCCCTTTTTGGGGCATCTCGGTATCACCCGCTGCCTGAGACACCCCAGCATGTGGCACTCGGACCCCAGGGACGCGCCACCAGAGTAACCCCAACAAACCCCACCTCTCCCGAGTCCCCCACTGTCCCCAAGCACCTCCACCAAGTGTCCCCAAGTACTCAAGTCGTCCCCCCCCCCGAAATCCCCAGTGTTCCCCACAGTGTCCCCTCCTATGTCCCCATCCCCAGAAGTCACCTCCTGTGCTCAGAGCCACCCCCCAGAGCATCTGTGTCATCGTCACCCCCCTGAATTTCCCATGCCCTGGTGTCCTTCTGCCCACTGCCCCTCAGGGCCACCCTGGTGTCCCCCTCCCTGCTGTCCCCATGTCCCAGGGGACCCCCTTCCCCCTGGCCCTGAGCCCAATACCCCCCCAGGCTCTTTTCCCTGGTGTCCCTGTGTCTCAGGGCCACCTCTCTCCAGTGTCCCCATGCTGACTGTCCCTGGGCCACCCCAACCCAATGTCCCTGTGCCCATTGCCCCCACAGTGTCCCCATGTGTCAGGACCCCCCCCAGTGCCACCATTCCCTGGTGTCCCCATGTCCCAGGACTCCCCTAGTATCACCCTCCCCAGTGTCCCCAATCCCCAGGGCCACCCCTCCCCAATGTCCTCATGTTCCAGGACCCCCCCCCCCCGTGCCACCCTCCCCAGTGTCCCCAGGTCGCAGGGCCACCCCTCCCCAATGTCCCCATGTCCCAGGACACCCTCCCAGTGCCACCCTCCCCGGTGTCCCCAGGTCCCCCCCTCCCCAATGTCCCCATGTCTCAGGACCCCCCCAGTGCTACCCTCCCCAGTGTCCCCAGGCCCCCCCCTCCCCAATGTCCCCATGTCTCAGGACCCCCCCAGTGCCACCCTCCCCAGTGTCCTCAATCCCCAGGGCCACCCATACACCAGGGCCACCCCTCCCCAATGTCCTCATGTTCCAGGACCTCCCCCCGCGCCACCCTCCCCGGTGTCCCCAGGTCCCCCCCTCCCCAATGTCCCCATGTCCCAGGACACCCCCCCAGTGCCACCCTCCCCGGTGTCCCCATGTCTCAGGACCCCCCCAGTGCCACCCTCCCCAGTGTCCCCAATCCCCAGGGCCACCCATACACCAGGGCCACCCCTCCCCAATGTCCCCATGTCTCAGGACCCCCCAGTGCCACCCTCCCCGGTGTCCCCAGGCCCCCCCCTCCCCAATGTCCCCATGTCCCAGGACACCCCCCCAGTGCCACCCTCCCCGGTGTCCCCAGGTCCCCCCCTCCCCAATGTCCCCATGTCCCAGGACACCCCCCCAGTGCCACCCTCCCCGGTGTCCCCAGGTCCCCCCCTCCCCAATGTCCCCATGTCCCAGGACACCCCCCCAGTGCCACCCTCCCCGGTGTCCCCAGGCCCCCCCCTCCCCAATGTCCCCATGTCTCAGGACCCCCCCAGTGCCACCCTCCCCAGTGTCCTCAATCCCCAGGGCCACCCATACACCAGGGCCACCCCTCCCCAATGTCCTCATGTTCCAGGACCTCCCCCCCCGTGCCACCCTCCCCGGTGTCCCCAGGTCCCCCCCTCCCCAATGTCCCCATGTCCCAGGACACCCCCCCAGTGCCACCCTCCCCGGTGTCCCCAGGTCCCCCCCTCCCCAATGTCCCCATGTCCCGAGCCACCCCTTCCCGGTGTCCCGGTCCCCGCCTCCCTGTTGTCCCCACACCTGGACGGTGACAAGGAGGATCTTGGCCAGCTGCAGCCCCAACTTAACGGGCCGCCGCCCCCGGGCCCGGTACTTATCGCAGGGACTCATGAAGAAATACTTGAGACGGCGTCGCAGCTCTTCTTCCTCCGCCACGGCCGGGGACTCCACCGTGCCGTACCCGGGGCCGCGGCCTAGCAGCCGCTCCGTTTCTGAGGGGAAACGGCCGTTAACCGGCGGGTACCGGAGGCCTCCGCCGGGGAGGGCGGCGGGGGGAACGGTGCGGGCCAACACGGGCCCCCGCCGCCCTCCCGGGCCCTGTGTGCGCGTCCCTCAGCCCGGTCCCCGGTTGTTGCTCACCGGCCGGAGCCGCCATGGCGCCGCCGCACCGCGGCTTCACCCGCCCGCCTCACGTGACCAGAGAGCACAGCCCTGGCTCCGCCTCCCCGCCCTTTTGCCCATAGCCACGCCCACCCGCTCCCTAGATGGCGAGGGCACCGCCCAGTGCCGGGCTGTAGCCACGCCCACTATCTGGCCGTGGTCACGCCCACCCGCTCCTGCCCGTGCCAGGATGGGGACATGTGGCACGAGGGGGACACGTCCGTGGTTGGGGACATGTGGCACGAGGGGGGGCATGTGTGGTCACATGTGGCCCAGGGGACATGTCTGTGCCTGGGCAGTGACATGTGGCACGGGGGGACACGTCCATGGATGGGGGCATGTGGCCCAGAAGGTGACACGTGGCATGGAGGGACATGTCCATGGTGGGACAGTGACATGTGGCATGGAAGGACATGTCTATAGATGGTGACATGTGGCCCAGAAGGAGATGTCCATGCCACGATGGTGACCTGCGGCATGCAAGGACATGTCCACGGCGGGACAGTGACATGTGGCATGGAGGGACACGTCTGTGCCATGACGTGGCACATGATTGAGGGGGACACATCCCCACCAGCCGCACCACGTCCCCCACCACACCACCACGACACTGTCCCCTCCGTGCCACCGTTTATTCACCACTCCTCCCTCGGGTGGGACACCCCCCACGCAGGGGTGTCCCCCGTGTCCCCGTGTCCCTCAGGCCACCCCCGGCAGTGGCTCCAGCACCAGCCAGAGCCCGTCCTCGGTGCGGAGGATGAGCTCGGTCTTGCGGCGTGGTGGCCGCTCCGCGTCCAGCCGGATGGCAAAGCGTGCCACCGTCAACGCTGCCACCACCTTCATCTCGGCCATGGCGAAGCTCTGGCCGATGCAGTTCCTGCCACCACGTGCCCCTTTGTCACCTCCATGGTGGGAGGGACACAGGGGACAGGAGACCTGCCCCCCACCCCCCAACCATCTGGGTGGTGGAGCAGTTGGTGGAAGCTCCCCAAAATGTGGGGACAGCATTGTCCCCTGATGCCCAAATGTCATGGTAGGGGGACAACCACCCCACCTTGAACCCAACCAGAGGGGGAGGGTGACACGTGGGGACACTTGTGTCCCCACCATGGCTTACCTGGGACCAGCAGAGAAGGGGATGAAGGCCAACGGGGACCTTCCCTGGCTGTTCTCTGGGCTGAACCTCAGTGGGTTGTAGACCTGGAGTGACATGGACACCGTCATGCCGTGGGGACATGGTTGGGTTGTCCCTGCCCATGGTGACGGGGACATCCCGCTGTCCCATGGTGCTGCCACCAGGGCCACGTGGCTCTACCTGAGGTTCGGGCCAGATGTCCGGGTTGTGGTGGGTCCCGTAGATGCTCAACAGGCAGATGATCCCTGATGGGATGGAAAGAGCCACCTTAGGGACAGGGGACAAGGAGGGACGGTGACACTGGGGACACCTTGCACCCTGAGCGAGCCGTACCCTTGGGGATGACGCGTCCATCACGCAGGGCAATGTCCTGGGTGCAGCGCCGGGACACGGCGGTGACGGGGGGATGCAGGCGAAGGCTCTCCTTGATGCACATGGTGGTGAAGGGCAGGTGGGACAGGTCCTCCCTGGAGGTGAGGGATGGTGGCACCGGGGTCCCCAAGCCAGGTGGCCGGAGGATGACACCGGGGACCTCTCACCATTTGATCTCCTCCACCTCCCTGCCCTTGAGGAGCTCGCGGGCCTCCTGGCGGCACCGCTCCTGGTAGTGGGGGTGGCGGGCCAGGTTGTAGAGCAGCCATGCCAAGCCGCTGGCCGTCGTGTCGTGGCCTGCCGGGACAAGACGTGAGCGAGGGGACATGGGAGTCCCCTCCCTCCGATGGCACCCAGTGGCTTCACCCTCACCCTCGAACATGAAGGTGTCAGCCTCGGCCGAGATGTCCTCATCCGACAGGGTGTTGCCATCCTCGTCCTGCAAGGGTGAGCGCGGCAGCCAAGGGGCCCCCTGGAGCCACCACCCTAGAGCCAACCCTCCCCCTGGCCACCACCATTCCCCTGGGGCCACCACCCTACGGCCAGCCTTCTCCATGGCCAACACCATCCCCCTGGCCACCACCATTCCCCTCTGGCCACCACCCTACGGCCAGCCTTCTCCATGGCCAACACCATCCCCCTGGCCACCACCATTCCCCTCTGGCCACCACCCTACAGCCAGCCCTCCTCATGGCCACCACCATTCCCTTGATCTTCACCAGGCCCCTATGGAGACCAGCCTATGGCCAACTTTTCCCATGTTCACCACCATCCCCTTGGCCACCATCATGCCATTATGGCCACCATGGCCACCACCTTCCCCTCAGCCCATCACCAGGCCACTATGGCCACCAGCCTATGACCAACCCTGCCTGTGGCCACTGTCATCCCCTGGGCCACCACCATGCTGCTTATGGCCATCACCCTATGGCCAAATTCCCCATTGCCACCACCATCCCCTTGGCCACCACCAGGCCACTATGGCCACCAACCTATGGCCAACCATCCCCGTGGCCACCACCATCCCCTTGGCCACTGCTATCCCCCTATGGCCAGCACCTTACGGCCACCCTTGCCCATGGCCACACCAGCTCACCCCAGCACTACCTTAGCGAGCAGGAGAAGGTCAATGAAGTCCATGCTCCGTCCCTGGTGGCTCTCCAGCCAGGCCTGGTGGCCGAGGCGGTTGAGGACCTGGCGCCGGCGCTGCACCACGGAGGCGGTGAAGCTGTGCACGATGGCGCAGGCCCGGGCGAAGCGGCGCCCGTCGGCCGAGAGGCGGTAGAGCCACGATGGGTGATGGAGCAGGCGGTGATGGCGTCTCACCACCAAGGTGCTCAGCTCCAGGATGGCCTTGATGTACTCGCTGGGCTGCCTGTGGGGACACTGGGGACGGCTGGGGACGGCCACCGTGGGCCACCGGGGACGGCCACCCCACTGGCCGTGGTGAGCTTCAGCGGGGTGGCAGGAGGTCCCATGAGGACATGTGGGACCAGGCTGGGGTGGCACCAGGGTCTGGGGCGGGGGGTGGGATGGACCTTGATGGGGGGGCAAAGCTGGAAGAAGGGGGGACCCCAGGAGGGGTAGAGTTGGGGTGGGGGAACCCTGGGGGTTGGGATGGTGGGGACCTTGATGGGTGCAAAGATCAGGGGGACCCTGGTTGGGGACCGAGCCAGGACAGGGGGGGACCCTGATGGGTGCAAAGCCCAGGGGGGACCCCAGTTGGGGACCAAACCAGGGCAGGGGACACCAGCTGAGGACCGAGCCAGGACAGGGGACACTGGTTGGGGACTGAGCCGGGGCAGGGGACCCCATTTGGGGACAAAACCGGAGCAGGGGAGGACCCTGATGGGTGCAAAGCTCAGGGGGACCCCGGTTGGGGACCAAACCAGGGCAGGGGACACCAGCTGAGGACCGAGCCAGGACAGGGGACACTGGTTGGGGACCGAGACAGGACAAGGGGAGAACCCTCACGGGGGGACCCTGGTTGGGGACCGATCCAGGGCTGGGGACACCACTTAGAGACCGAGCCAGGACATGGGACCCCAGCCCATTTGGGGACCCAACCGGATCGGGGGGGACCCTGATGGGTGCAAAGCTCGGGGGGGCCCCGGTTGGGGACCGAGCCAGGGCGGGGGACGCCCAATCAGGGCACAGAGGCGGGGTGGGGGGCGCGCCTCGCGGGGGCCCCGGGGACACGCAGACACGCGGACTGTGGGTGACACTCACTCCTGGCAGCGGCTGTGGTGGCTGAAGATGCAGCGCTGGAGCGCGGCGAGGGTGAGGAGGCTGAGCGGGCCCAGCACCTCCCGCGCCCCCGCGCCCGCCGCCCGCCACTGCGCCTGGGGGCGGGGCCAGGCCTCAGGGGCGGGGCGGGGCGGGGGCGGGGGCGGGGCACGCGTGTGGGCGGGGCGGGGGGCAGGGCTGGGGGCAGGACAGGGCTCGGGGTGCGGGACAGGGCGCGGGGTGCAGGACAGGGGTTTGGGTGCCAGCAGTGGGTGCAGGTTGGGGTCTGGGTGCAGGTTGGGGTCTGGGTGCAGGACAGGGCTCGGGGTGCAGGACAGGGCTTGGGGTACAGGACAGGGCTCGGGGTGCCAGCAGTGGGTGCAGGTTGGGGTCTGGGTGCAGGCTGGGGTCTGGGTGCAGGACAGGGCGCGGGGTGCGGGACAGGGCTCAGGGTGCCAGCAGCGGGTGCAGGACAGGGCTCGGGGTGCAGGACAAGGCTCGGGGTGCAGGACAGGGGTTTGGGTGCCGGCAGTGGGTGCAGGTTGGGGTCTGGGTGCAGGTTGGGGTCTGGGTGCAGGACAGGGCTCGGGGTGCAGGACAGGGGTTTGGGTGCCGGCAGTGGGTGCAGGTTGGGGTCTGGGTGCAGGACAGGGCTCGGGGTGCAGGACAGGGCTTGGGGTACAGGACAGGGCTCGGGGTGCCAGCAGTGGGTGCAGGTTGGGGTCTGGGTGCAGGTTGGGGTCTGGGTGCAGGACAGGGCTCGGGGTGCAGGACAGGGCGCGGGGTGCGGGACAGGGGTTTGGGTGCCGGCAGCGGGTGCAGGTTGGGGTCTGGGTGCAGGACAGGGCTCGGGGTGCAGGACAAGGCTCGGGGTGCAGGACAGGGGTTTGGGTGCCAGCAGCGGGTGCAGGACAGGGCTCGGGGTGCAGGACAAGGCTCGGGGTGCAGGACAGGGGTTTGGGTGCCGGCAGTGGGTGCAGGACAGGGCTCGGGGTGCCGGACAGGGCTTGGGGTACAGGACAAGGCTCGGGGTGCCAGCAGTGGGTGCAGGTTGGGGTCTGGGTGCAGGTTGGGGTCTGGGTGCAGGACAGGGCTCGGGGTGCAGGACAGGGGTTTGGGTGCCAGCAGCGGGTGCAGGTTGGGGTCTGGGTGCAGGTTGGGGTCTGGGTGCAGGACAGGGCTCGGGGTGCAGGACAAGGCTCGGGGTGCAGGATAAGGCTCGGGGTGCCAGCAGCGGGTGCAGGTTGGGGTCTGGGTGCAGGACAGGGCTCGGGGTGCAGGACAGGGGTTTGGGTGCCAGCAGCGGGTGCAGGTTGGGGTCTGGGTGCAGGACAGGGCTCGGGGTGCAGGACAGGGGTTTGGGTGCCAGCAGCGGGTGCAGGTTGGGGTCTGGGTGCAGGACAGGGCTCGGGGTGCAGGACAGGCCTCGGGGTGCCGGCAGCGGGTGCTCACGTGCATGACGTGGGTGCTCTGGTTGAAGATGCCCATGTAGGACCTGAGGACGTCCGAGTGGAAGGCGGGTGCCAGCAGGCGCCGGTGCCGAGCCCACTTCTGCCCGCGGCTCAGCAGCAGCCCGTCCCCTGCGGCGAGACACCCCGCTCCACCCCTGCGGCACCCATGGGTGCTGCGCCACCCGCCCCGCCACCCCCGAGCACCCACTCACCCAACCAGGGCTTGAGGAAGCCGTAGAAGAGCTGGTCCTTGGGGGCGACGATGGCTGAGGAGGAGCAGAGGTGGTGAGGGGTGTCACCAGGGTGGCATCAGGTCCCCTCAGGGGACTTGGGAGGAGGGTGGGGTCCCAAGGGAGAGGGGACCCCCCCATCTGCACCCATAACCACCAGAGGGTGGGGCTTGGGTACAAGCAGGCCACCCAGAAGGCCGTGGGTGACACCTGTGGGTGGCCCTGGGGACCCTCAAGGACAGGTTGGTGGCCATTATGGGGTGGCATTTGGACTGGCCATGGGTGTCACCTCTGGGTGGCCCTGGGGACCCTCAAGGAGACGTTGGTGGCCGCCATCTGGGCTCTCACCGGGTTGGCCATGGATCACACCTTTGGGTGGCCCTGGGGACCCTCAAGGACAGGTTGGTGGCCGTTATGGGGTGGGCACTCATTGGGCTAGACATGGGTGACACCTCTGGGTGGCCCTGGGGACCTCAGCGGGGGGTTGGTGGCCGCTAGGGCATGACATCTGGGCGCTCGCTGGGCCAGCCAAAGGTGGTGGCTCTGAAGTCCCTTGCGGTTGGGCTGGTGGCCACCACAGGATGGGTGCCTGGCCCCAACCGGGTGGGCGGGCCAGCCACAGTGACCCCTCTGGGTGACGCTGGGGAGCCTCAGGCCTGGGTTGGTGGCCCTCGTGTCCTACCTGGGGCCAGGAGGACGGGCCGGAGGGTGTCGGGGTGGAAGAGGCGGAGGATGGGCGTCCACGGCGAGAGCCACCACAGGCAGCCGTGCCGGTACTGGGCCACCAGCTCGTCCACCTGCTGAAGTCCCTCCTCCGTGCTCCTCCCCTGCGGCACGGGGCACCGCGGGGCTCAGTGACAACCTTGGGGACACCCCTGTCCCCATGGTGACAGCCAGCTTTGGGGACACCCTTGAGCCCAGGTTCTGGCCAGCGTTGGGGACGGGCTCAGCTTGAGGTCACAGATGTTCTTGGAGACACCCAGAGCTCACGTGTCTCTGCTGTCACCCATGCAAGTGTCCCCACTGTGTCCCTGCTGTCACCCCCCCCCCCCCCCCAAGGTGCCACCACTCTGCCTCCACCAGCTCTCGGGTGGCACCATCACCTCCCCGCTGTCACCCCCTCCAGGTGCCACCACCCTGTCCCCAACGTCCCCAGGCTTCACCACTCTGTCCCTACCATCCCCTTGCGGGTGCCACCACTGTCCTGCCACCGTCCCCTCCTGTACCAACTGTCACCCTCCCCAGGTGCCACCACCCTGTCCCTGTCAACCCCCAGGTGCCACCACCCTGCCCCTGCTGTCCCCCCACAAGTGCCACCACCTTGTCCCTGCCAGCACCCCCAAGTGCCACCACTTTGTCCTCACTGTGTCGCCCATTCTAGGTGCCACCACCCTGTCTCTGTCACACCCCCAGCTGCCACCACCCTGCCCCAGCTGTCCCCCTCAGGTGCCACCACCCTGTCCCACTCCCCCCCGGGTGCCACCACCCTGCCCCTGTCCCCCTCAGGTGCCACCACCCTGTCCCACTCCCCCCCGGGTGCCACCACCCTGCCCCTGTCCCCCTCAGGTGCCACCACCCTGTCTCTACCACCACTCCCAGCTGCCACCACCCTGTCCCTGCCACCCCCTCTAGTGCCACCACCCTGCCTTTGCTGTCCCCTCTCAGGTGCCACCACCCTGTCCCCACTGTGTCCCCCACTCTAGGTGCCACCACCCTGTCCCTGCCACCCCCTCTAGTGCCACCACCCTGCCTTTGCTGTCCCCTCTCAGGTGCCACCACCCTGTCCCCACTGTGTCCCCCACTCTAGGTGCCACCACCCTGTCCCTGCTGCCCTCCCCAAGTGCCACCACCCTGCTCCTGCTGTCCCCTTCAGGTGCCACCACCCTGTCCCCACTGTGTCCCCCATTCTAGGTGCCACCACCCTTCCCCTGCTGCCCCCCCCAGGTGCCACCACCCTGCCCCTGCTGCCCCCCCCAGCTGCCACCACCCTGTCCCCTCCGCCGTCCCCTCACCAAACCCGTATGACCCAGCAGCCAGTTGCGCCACGGCGGCCGGGGGAAGCGGCGCAGTTGGTGGCAGGTGGCCCGGAAGCGGGTGACGGCGACCGCGGCGTCCCAAAGCCACCCCAGCAGCAGGGCCAGCAGCAGGGTGCCGATGGCCACCGCGCCCAGGGGACCCAGCGCCCAGGCCACCGCCATGGCACCCGCTCCCTGGGGACAGGGCGAAGGGCGGGGGGGTGGCACCGCCGTGTCACGTGTGCCCGCGGCGGGTGTCATCAGGCGCATCCTGCTGGCTTTGTCCCCACATGCGTGCCTTGGTGGCATCGGCCCCTCACGCGTGTCCCGGTGGCATTGTCCCCTGACATGTGTCCTGGTGGCTTTGTCCCCTCGTGCGTGTCCTGGTGGCTTCACGCTCTGACATGTGCCCTGGTGGCATTGTCCCCTCACGCGTGCCCTGGTGGCATTGTCCCCCCATGCGTGTTCTGGTGGCATTGTCCCCTGACACGTGCCCTGGTGGCATTGTCCCCTGCTGTCTCTCCTGGTGGCACACGCAGCCCTCTGCATGCACACGCAGACACATGCACAAGCACACGCTTCCTTTGCTTGCGCATGCCAATACACACGGGCACACACGTGTGCACACACATGAGAACATATGCACATGTACATATGCACACACTCTTTGTGCACATGAACATCTGTATGCACACACGTATGCACACACGTGTATAGATGCACCCCAGGCACAAGCACATGCGTGTGCACATACAGGCACAGATGCATATATGCACATCCCCTGCATGTGTTCACGGGGGGTGTGCATATGTACGTCTACATGTGTGTGTATACACGGGGGGGGTGTGCACAAGAATTGTGTACATACGTGCACATGTGTGTGCACATGCTTGTGCACGGGGTGCATACATACATGTGTGTGCACAGGGTATGTGCATACGTACACGTGTGTGCGCAGGGGGTGTGTATATGTGCATATATGCACACGTGTACGTATGCACACACACCCCACGCATGCACATGTATGTATACACCCCGTGCACAAGCACGTGCACACACATGTGCATGTATGTACACCACAGTCCTTGTGCACGCCCCCCCCGTGCACACGCACACACATGTAGCCCCTTCCTAGGGCCCCCCCCCGTGTGCACAGCAGCACACACGTGCTGCAGAGCTGCCCCACCGGGAGCACCCACGCAACACACACGTGTGTCCCCCTGCCACACCCCCTGGTGCCCGTGTCCCCTCCCCACCCCCGGTGACATCTGTGCTCGGGTGCGGGGACAAAGTCCAGTGAGGCCACGACACGGGACAACACGGGACAACACGGGACACCGCGACCGGGGGCCGAATCCCGCAGCATGTTCCTGTGGCTCCTCCTGGTCCTGAGCGTCTGCGCTCAGCCCGGAACAGGTAGGCACATGCCACAACACGCCATGACATGCTACGACATGCTACAACACCCCATAACATGCCACAACGCTCCACAACATGCTGCGACATGCTACAGCACACCACAACACACTGCGACGTGCCACAACACACCGTGATATACCAGAACATGCCACAGCCCACTGCAGCACACTGTGACATGCCACAACATACCGTGACACACCACAACACCCCACAACATACCACAACACAGCGCAGCACACCCTGGCGTGCAGCGACACGCTACAACACGCACCAACACACCACCACACGCATGTGGGGCTTCTTGGAGCCCCTTTTGGGGCCAGAATGGCACCAGCTGCTTTTTTTTCCCCTAATTCGGGTGATTTGAGCCCAGATTTGTGCCCACATGGGTGGGGCTGGCGAGGGGTGAGGGTGGGGGACGGTGGGGGAGGGGCTGCACCCACTTTTAGGCGCATTCGGCTTCAGTCGGGCTTTGGGTGCTCATGATGGGTGCAGTCACCCGCTTTGGGGTGCTTTTGCTGGTTTTGGGGGGTACTTTTGCCTTTTTTGGGGTGTTTTCGCCCAGTTTTGGCTGCAGTTGCCCGGTTCTGGGTGCCTTTGCTACTTTTTTAGGGTGTTTTTGCTGTTTTTTGGGGTACTTTTGCCTTTTTGGAGGTGTTTTCGCCCAGTTTTGGCTGCAGTTGCTCGGTTCTGGGTGCCTTTGCTACTTTTTTAGGGTGCTTCTGCCATTTTGGGGGGTACTTTTGCCTTTTTGGGGATGTTTTCACCCTGCTTTGGGTGCAGTTGCCCAGTTCTGGGTGCCTTTGTTACTTTTTTTTGGGGTGCTTTTGCCATTTTTGGCATGCTTGCAGCCTGTTCCGGGTACTTTAGTCCTGATTTTGGGGTGTTTTCGCCCTCGTTTGGGTGCATTCACCATGTTTTGGGTGCTTTTGACCTACTTCGGGTTGTTTTCACCCTGGTTTGGGCGCGTTCACCCTTTTGCTGGGTGCTTGCGCCCTCCTCTGGGTGCTTTCACATTGCTCTGGGTGCAGTCACCCAGTTTTAGGTGCTTTCACCCCGTTTTGGGAGCATTTGCTCTGGTTTTGGGTGCATTTGCTCTCCTCTGGGTGCATTTGCCCTGACTGAGGTGTATTCACCCAGTTTTGGGTGCATTCACCTTGTTTTGGGTGCACGTGCCCTGTTTTGGATTTATTCACCTTGGTCTGGGTGCTTCCACCCTGTTTTGGGTGCCTTTTCCCTGTGTTGGGTCCTTTCACCTTGTTTTGGGCCCCTTCACCCAGCTTTGGGTGCTTTCACCCTCTTTTGGGTGCATTCACCCTCTTTTGGGTCCTTATACCCTTTTCTGGGCGCTTCCACCCCATTTTGGGCGCATCTCCCCTCATTTTGGTGCAGTCCCCCTGTTTTGGGTGCACAGTCACCCACCCTGGGACACTCATGCCACCCCTGCACCCCCCGGCACCCCCACCCCATGGGTGCCCCTCGGTCCCTCACCCGCGTCCCCATCCCCTGCCCCAGGTCTCCCACCGCGCCGCATGGACTCCGTGGTTCAGATCCTGGAAGCCCTCGAGTCCTCCGACCACGGCTTCGCCGGCACCGTGCCAGAGCTGGCGCGGGCGCTGGGCGGCTGCAGCACCCCGGGGTGCCGCGCGGTGCTGGGAGAGCCACCTGATGTCCCGGCAGCCCCCGCAGCGCTCAGCCACGAGCAGTGGCTGCTCTTCACCCAACTCCTCCACCGCGACGCCGCGGCACCCGAGCGCGGCGCGGTGCTGGCACCCGACGGCTCCACCGTCGCCCTTGGCCCCCTCTTTGCCGGCATCGAGGTTGGCCTCAAGCGGGCGGCGGGGTGGCCCGTCCCCACCTTCGAGCCTCCCATCGACGCGCTCTACGCCGTCACCGTCGCTGAGGCCTTGGGGACATCCTTCCTCTTGGCTCGTGGCGGTGATGGCAACCGAGCCACGCTGGGGCCCGGTGGCTGTTGGGACGACGTGGATGACCCCCAAAACTACACCCTGCTGGGACCCCCGTCACCCATCTCTGATGCCATCGCCAACGGGGCGATGGATGGGGTGCTGTTGGGTGCACAACTGGCCCGAGCACCCGTCCCACTCGCCGATCTTCTCCGGGGCTACTACGGGACAGGCAACGGCACGGAGACGGGGCGACCTCCCAGCAGTTATCGGCGTCGAGATTTTGGGGTGCTGACAGGGCCGGGGAAGCTGGAGGAGGAGGTAGCGGCGATGTTGAGGCTGCTGCGGGTGCTGCCACCCACCCAGGAGCTCTTGGAGGACGTGGGGCCGGAGGAGGTGGTGGCCATCGCTCGCCAAGCGGCGCGGGACTTCACGGAGGTCTACGTGGGTAGGGAGGTGGCACTGGGTCGCGATATCACATCTGCCCACCCCTCTCCAAAAGAGAATTGGGTGGGAGGATGGGGGGGTGCCCAGGGTCACCCTGGTGTAGGTGGCACCACGGGAGAGTCAAGCTCTGAGAGCCAACTGGTGGCATGTGGCCTGGCATGGTCAGACACCACCACGTCCCTTGGATGGACATAACTGTGTCCCCACATGGTGGTTCCTGGGCGGACGCCACCAGGTCCCCTGGACAATGGGGCCCTGGACGCTGCTTCGTCCCCTGGGTGGACACCAATATGTGTGTCCCCTGGCTGGCCACCACCATGTCCTCTGGATGGCTGCTGGTGTGTCCCCTGGTGCTGGACACAACCACGTCCCCAGCCAAGGGACACCCTGAGCAGATGCTCCACGTCCCCTCGATGAGAAGACCCCAGGAGGACACTCCCGTGTCCCAGACCAAGGGGCCCCCAAGCTGGGCAGATGCTCCAAGTCCCCAAGACCCCACAGGGACACTGCCATGTCCCCAGCTGTCCTCGGGACCGGGCCAGTCTCCTTCTCCCACCATCTGCCTTCCCTCGCAGAGTGCCCGGCCATCGTGCCCCGGTGCATGTGGGGTGCCCGTCCCTACCGGGGCACCCCCAAACCGTTGACCCTCCCCTTGGACTCCGTCTACATCCACCACACCTTCATGCCCAGCGCCCCGTGCCGCACCTTCCCCGCCTGCGCCCGTGACATGCGGGCCATGCAGCGCTTCCACCAGGACACCCGCGGTTGGGATGACATCGGCTACAGGTGAGCCCACGGCACCGTCACCCCACCCCGGTCTCCGTCACCCATCCCCGGGCGGCTCAGCCTGACCCACGGGTGCTTGCAGCTTCGTGGTGGGGTCGGACGGGTACCTCTACCAAGGCCGGGGTTGGCACTGGGTTGGTGCCCACACCAAAGGCTACAACAGCAAAGGCTACGGCGTGGGCTACGTTGGAGACTTCTCGACCACCTTGCCGGATCCTGACACCATCGCCCTGGTGCGGGACGGGCTCCTGCCCTGCGCCGTGAGGACCGGTCGGCTCCACCACAACTACACCCTACGCGGCCACCGCCAGATGGGTCACACCGACTGCCCCGGCAACTCCCTCTTCCAGGAGATTGAGACCTGGCGCGGCTTCAAGGTGACCACCAAGCCCTGGGGCATCTCCAGGGGTTGGTGCCCGGCTGGGGGGTCCGGGCCACTCCGGCACGGCCGGGGGGGTGGAGGTTGGGTGGGGGTGGGGGTGGGAGGGGCTGCGGGGCCTGACGGTGGTTTCTCCTCCGCAGTGAGGAGCAGCCCGGGGGGTCCTGGTCTGATGGGTGCGGGCAAGGTTGGATCATGGTCTAGATGGATGCTGCGACGGTCTGGATGGAGCTTGGTCCAACAGATGTCGGCCCCAGTGGATGCCAGCCTGGGTGGATGCTGGTCCAGATGGCCACCAGTCTGCTGGCCACCAGCCTGGGTGGATGCTGGTCCAGATGGCCACCAGTCTGCTGGCCACCAGCCTGGGCAGACCCTGTTTCAGCTGGACCGTGACCCAGTGGACGCCAACCCTGAGGGACCCTGGCCCAGAAGAACCCCAGCCTTGAAGGCTGCCAGCCTGCGCAGCTCCTAGCCCGGATGGATCCTGGCCTCGCTGGCCCAGCAGACCATCCCTGTAGCCACAGACCACCAGAAACGCCCCCGCAATAAAGTCCATGCCAGGACATCAGCTTTGGGTGGTCCCTGGAGAGCCAGAGGGAAACTGAGGCATGGGGTTGGAGGTGACCATGGGGTCATGGGAGAGGACTCAAGTGAGGGATCGAGGTGCCCGGGCCCTGCTGCAGGGCTGGATGCTGCGGCACACGCGTGTGTGCGCGTGCACACACATGTCCTGTCCCCTAAACCAACCCCGGAGACCCCCCACCTCTCCACCCCTCCCCAAGGGGGGCACCCATCCCTTAGATGGGCACCCAGCCCCCAGCGGTGTCCACACCGCAGCACCCAGGAGCCATCAACTCCGGCACCCGTTCACTCTGAAACCTAATGACAGCGTTTAAACTGGACGCATCCAACCGGCCACCAGGGTAGCCAGACCCCGCCGTGGGGTGGCCCGGCGTGGCTCGCCCTTCTCGGCATGGCCCGAGCCGTGGCCGAACGTGAGCCCGGCCGAGCCGGGAGCGTAGATAACATCATCGGGGCAGAGGCGGAGGTGAGGGTGTGACTGAAACTCCCGCTTGGTCACATGGGGAAGCCACGACAGGAACCGGGGCGGCTGAGTCCCGGGTGTCGGAGGAGGCAGAGAACAGCCGAGGTACCACGGGGATGGGGTGGGGGGACACGGGGGAGCAGCACCCCACAGGGATGCTCCAACCTTGGGGGTGCACCAGGGCTGCGGGGTGCTGGCGCGGGGTCAAGCAGCACCCTGAGGGGTAAGGGGTGCTGCAGGGGAGGGTATGGGTGATGGGGTGCTGTTGGGTGCTGCAAGTTGGGGTGGGAACCTCGAAAATACTCACACGCACCCCCCCCCCCTTTGTCTCCAGGGTCTGGGCACCCTCCACAGCTCAGCTCTGGGGTGCTGGCACCCCTAAATTAGGGGGTGCCAAAGCCATGGGCTCCCACAGCTCGCTTCCACCCCGCGGCCACGGCGAGGAGGTCTTGGGGTGCGAGCGGCCCCCTCCACCCCCACCCCGGCCTGCACCCACGTGTGCACCCTGGGGTGCTGGCGGGGTCCCCAGGGGCTGGGCTGGGCGTGGGGTGCAGGTGCCGGGAGGAAATGCTGCGGCGGTGCGAGGGGAAACGCGGCTGCGGCAGCGACGGAAGCATCTCCGGCGCCCGCCCGCGCTCGGGGCCGAGGGGCCGGCGGGGCCACCTGCCTGGGTGTCACCGCGGCCCCGGTGTCACCGCGCCCCGGTGTCCCCGAAGGCTGATGCTGCCACGCCCTCGGTGCTACCGCGCCTTGGCAGGGATGGGCGCTGCTGGGGGGGCAAGGGGTGGCGTGGGCACCCATGAGGTTGGGACCCCTCGGGGGGCAGGGGCACCCCAGCGACACGAGCACCCACAAGATGGGGCCACCTTGGTGACGGGGGCACCCCAGCGACACGAGCACCCATAAAATGGGGACCCCATGGTGGGCAGGGGCACCCCAGTGACATAAGCACCCAGAAGATGAGGACCCCTTGGTGACAGGGGCACCCCAAGGACATGAGCACCCACAAGATGAGGACCCCTTGGTGACAGGGGCACCCCAAGGACACGAGCACCCACAAGATGAGGACCCCTTGGTGGGCAGGGGCACCCCAGGGATGTGGGTACCCTGGGGTGCCCCAATGTGGGTGCCCAGTTGAAGGGTGCCCTGGCTGAGAGGACCCAAATAGTGGTGCCTGGATTAGGGTGCTCTGGAGAAGGGCACCCAGGTAGGGGTGCCCTGGGTGGGGGTGCCCATACAGGGTCCCTGGTCATGGGTGCCTGGATAGGGGCACCCATAAAGGGACACTCAGAGGTGCCTGGATAGGGGTGCCTGGGTGGGGGTACCCCAATACTGAGACAAGGCACCCACATTGGGGTGACCGGGTGGGGGATGCTGGCTTGGGGGTGCCCAGACAAGGGTGCCCTCCCCTGCTCCCCCCCACCCTGCTCCCCACCCCAACCCGTGGCCACTCGTGGCTAACGTGGCTCCCGCCCCGCCCCACAGATGGAAGTGGAGAAACCCCCGTTGGGTCCCGAGCCACCGACCCTCCTGAAGACCTACAAATGGCGAACGGCAGCACCCATGGGTGACCGGGAAGCCGAGCGGGGCGCAGGCTCCCCGGGCAGCCGGCGTTGGACCCGCCTGCAGGGCTGGAAACGTTCCTACAGCCAACCCGAATCTGGTGGCCCCGATGACGGGGGTGGAAGGGGCAACCCCAGCATGGGGGCACCCAAGGCCAGCACCCGGAGGTCCCTCTTCCAGCGGGCGTTTTCGGCACCCTCCAAGGGGGCCAAGGAGCCCCGGGGACCCGAGGGTGGCAAGGCCACCCTGCAGAAGTACCTGCGCTCCATGTCCAAGAGGAAGGGTCACGGGGAGAGCGGTGCCAGGGTTGAGCAGGAGCTCCACGATGTTGTTCCAGGTCTGGGGGGCGATGGGGAGGGTGGGGGTCAGGGTGCTTGGGGTGGGTGCTGGGGGTGGGATGGGGTTGTGGGGGTTGGCGATGGGTTGGGGGTGGTGGGTGATGCTGAGAGGTAATGGGTGGTGGGTGATGGGTGGTGGGTGATGATGATGGGTGATGCGTTGGGAGTGATGGGTGGGGGGTGATTCTGATGGGTGCTGAGTTGGGGGTGGTGGGTGGGGGGATAATGACGATGGGTGATGGGTTGGGAGCAATGGGTGGGGGTCGATTTTGATGGGTGCTGGGTTGGGGGTGGGGGGATAATGACGATGGGTGATGGATTCAGGGTGCTGGGTGCTGGGTTGGGGGTCGGTGGGTGGTGGGCAGTGGAAATGGGTGATGGACTGGGATGCAATGGGTGGTGGGCAGTGGGTTGAGGGCAACGGGTAGTGGGTGCTGGGTGGGGGGGCGATGGGTGGTGATGGGTGATGGTGACCACCGGGGTCTGGGAGGCGGTGGGTGACGAATGGGTGACAGTGGGGGGACACAGAGGGGTGCGGGGTGTGGCCAGGCTTTGCTGGTGTTGGGGACCTCCTGCCTGCAGGTGCCCTCCAGGGCTGGAGGGGCACCCATGGGTGCAGGACAGCTGGGTCCCACCTGGCCCCGGGGCCCACTCCCGGCCACACGTGGCCCCGGTCCCCGTGGGTGCCGGGCACGGGGCTCGGTGCCGGCGTGTGGAGCCGTGCCAGCCCCTGCGGCACCCGGTTCTGGCAAAACCGGCTTGGCTCCGGCGGGGCCACCCACGGTGCCGGCAGGGCCCTGGGGCAGGGCAGCCACCCGCCTTCGTCCCTCCCACGGCACGGCCATGGCCAAGGGTGGCCCGGCACTGCCACGCTGGTGGTGGCACGACCACCCGTCCCCCAGGCTTTGTCACACTCAGGGTGGCACCTCCACGGCCACGTGTCCCCCAGCATCACCACAACCATGGTGGCATGGCCACGGCCACGTGTCCCCCAGCGTCACTGCATCCATGGTGACACCTCCATGGCCATATGTCCCCGGCACTGTCACACTCATGGTGGCACCACCGTGGCCACATGTTCCCCAGCATCACCGCAGCCATGGTGGCATGGCCATGGCCTTATGCCCCCAGCACTGTCACGCTCATGCTGGCACCTCCATGGCTACGTGTCCCCCAGCACCACCGCAGCCATGGTGGCCCCTCCATGGCCATATGTCCCCTGGCACCATCACCCCAACCACATCAAGGCCATGGCCCTGTGTGCCCCGGTGTTGTCCCACCTACGGTGACACAGCCACAGCCATGTCCCCTGACCCTGCCACGCTGCCCATGGGTGACAGGGCCACGGTGAGCACCCAGCCTCCCCCTGACACCCTGCCCTGCACCCCCAGAGAGCACCCAGGGGACGTCATCCATCCCGCTGGCTCCAGCCCCCAATGCCCCAGTGTGGGACGTCTCCAACTTCTCCTTGGTGGACGGACATCTGGTCCTCGTGGGCAGGGACGAGGAGGTGAGGACACAGGGACAGGAGTCCCCTGGCGTCCCCTGGGTGACGGGGGTGCCCGGATGGGTGCTGGGGCCGGCGGTGCCTGACCCCTCCGTGTCACCAGGCTTCGTGCAGGAGCAGGAACGGGACGGGGAGCTCCACCTCCGACAGCACCACCCTGCACCCGGCGGGCGGCAGGAGGGACGCCGGTGAGCTCGCCTGCCCCGTGCCGGCACGCACCGGTGCCGCGGCGCGTTGGCACGTGCTGGTGCGAGCCGCCTGCGTGCGGCTGCGGTGGGTGGAGACCCTCGGGCTGCGTGTCATGGCACACACCACGCCATGCACCATCCGGACATGCGCTGTGCCGCACACGGTGGGGCCATGCCCCGCGCACTGGGCAGCGCGTCGTGGCCGTGCCACACCCCGCGGTGTGCCTGTGCCGTGCCAGATGCTGGGGTTTTGTGCCGTGCCGGCGGTGCGCGCCGTGCCATGCAGCAAGCCGTGCCCTGTGCTCAGCTTCGTGTCACACCATGCCGCGCAGCACGCCACGCCATGCCCCCTGCTGTGCCCCACGCCACGCTTCGTGCCGTGCCCCCCACCATGCCCCACGCCACCCTTCATGCCATGCCCCCCACCATGCCCCACGCCACGCTTCGTGCCGTGCCCCCCACCATGCCCCACGCCACGCTTCGTGCCGTGCCCCCCACCATGCCCCACGCCACGCTTCGTGCTGTGCCCCCCACTGAGCCGGGCGCACGGAGGAAGCGCTGGGCGCGAGCCGTCACCGCTTCCTCCACGTTGCTGTGTCGGCTGATCTGAGCGATAAAGGTTTTTGGCTTCCTCCCACCCCGCGCCCCTTGCCAGCGCGGGCGCATGGCATCGCCGCCAGCCATGGGCCCCCGCCGCTGGCTGCTCTGCACCGCGCAGGGAGGTGAGTTCCCCTCTCAGCACCCACTCGGCACCCAGGGCCGGCACCGGGGCGGGGACCCTCCCGGATGGGTGCTCAGCATCGTGGTAGTGTAGCGCCAGGGGGTGGCAC